CTTGTGCAGAGAACAAGGTGAAGGTTGCTCCAAAAGGCAAGGAGTCTAGCAGGCAGGCTTCCAAACCCTACCAGCTAGTCCACGCAGACCTGGTTGGTCCACTTGCGCCCTCTTTGGGTGGAGCAAGGTACTTCATGGTTCTAATTGATTCTTTTTCCAGGTACATTCATGTGTTTATGCTCGAGCAGAAATCGCAAGCGTTTCCTAGGTTCAAGGCATTCTGTGCTTGGTTGGAGAATGTTCACAGTAAGCGTATCGGCTGTCTCTTTACTGATCAGGGCGGGGAATTCACTTCTCAGCAGTTTGAAGCTTTCCTGACTGAGAAGGGAATCCAGCATGACTTGTCAACGCCTAGATCGCCATTGATGAATGGACTTGCAGAGCGAGCAAATCAAACGTTGCTTCAAGGCCTAAAAACCTTGTTGCATGATGCCAATCTCCCAGATAAGTATTGGGGGGAGGCTCTGTCGACTTTTGTTTACACTTTTAACAGGAGACTGTCATCACCTATTGGTTGTACTCCCTATGAGAAGATGTTTGGTAAGCAACCTCGCGTCAAGCACATGAGAATCTTTGGTTCTGACATGTGGGTACACGCCCCATAGAGCAACAAGCTTGGGAAGCGTGGGGCACATGGTTTGTTCATGGAGTACGAAAAAGGTGCATACAGGGTATGGATGACTGACTCTAAGTCCATTAAGTTCACAAAGAGTGTTGAGTACAATCCTAAGTGGGGGGGAAATGTGGGAATTTTCCAGAGTTACCCAGAGGAGGATGAAGGTGATGTGAAGAAAGCAGATAATGTTGAGGAAGCTGAGGAAGCTGATGATGATGATCAGAGTTCGGATTCCAGTTCAGTGGGCGGCGCTGCTGCTGATGTCAGCGACAGTGATGACACAGCAGACTACAAGAGCGCAAAGGCCTCAGTCAGACCATCTGATGCGTCTGACAATGAACTGGAAGAACTACTGTTCACCATTGGTCACTTTTCTCCTAAGAAGGAGGAGATGAGTCCAGAAGACTTGCGTCTAGTACGCAGATCTGAGAGAGCGACAAAGGGCAGACCTCCAAAGAGATTTGCTGATGAGTTTGCTAAGACAGCAACTGCTGTTCTTAGTAGCTCAGAGAAGGTATGGGAACCTTCAAGCTTCAAAGAGGTTTAGGAGTTAACCTCTAAAGATGCTGAGCCTTGGCTTAATGCCATGAAGGCTGAAGTTGATTCCTTGAATAGGAACCAAACTTGGGAGTTGGTACCGGTAGTCCCAGGAATGAGACTGGTTGGCAGCAAATGGGTCTTCAAGGCCAAGACAGACCAGAATGGCAAGGTAGTCAGACACAAAGCCAGATTGGTTGCCAGAGGTTTTTCACAGGTACCAGGACAGGATTACCACGAGACCTACTCGCCCACCGTCAAGTATGAGAGCATTCGGCTGATGCTCAAGATAGCTGCAGAGGAGAAACTGCATGTTTCCCATCATGACATTAATACAGCTTTTTTGTATGGGATTTTGGGGGAGGAACTGTATATGCTTCCACCTGATGGAATGCAGATACAGAAGGGAATGGTCTGTAAACTGCGGAAATCCTTATATGGTCTCAAGCAGAGTGCCAGGTGTTGGAACACAAAACTCACTGAGACGTTGCTTTCTCTAGGTTTTCACCAGGGCAAAGCTGATCCATGTGTGTTTGTCAAGGAGGAGGGGCAAAACAAACTGTATTGTTTATGTTTTGTTGATGATCTTCTGATGTTTTGGAAGAATCAGGCTTTGTACCAAAGCACCCTAGCTCAGCTGAAGGAGCACTTTGACATGAAGGATCTTGGTGAGGTATCCAACTATCTTTCTCTGCAGGTGGAGACGGACCAAGCAGGTAATTTTCTGGTACACCAAACACAGAAAATTGCTGATGTATTAACCAGGTTGAATTTGGTTGATGCAAACCCAGCAGACACACCGATGGTGACAGGTTACCAGGTAGATAGTACTGCTGAAGCGTTTTCTGACACTATGCTGTACAGATGCATTCTAGGCAAGTTGAATTTCATTGCTAGATGCTCAAGACCTGACATAGCTGTAAGCACTAACCTGCTTAGCAGACATGCTAACAATCCTACTGTTCAGGATTGGAAAGCTCTGAAGCGCATAGCCCGCTATTTGAAAGGGACTTTGCACTACAGGCTGAGGTTCACCAGTCAGAAGACTGAAGGTCTTGAAATCTTTGCAGATGCAAGTTTTGGAAGTGACACCACGGATGGTACAAGCACTTCTGGAGTATGCTACATGTACAACCACTGTCTGTCTGTTTGACTGGCTGTGCAGGAAGCAGACGACAGTGAGCCTAAGTTCCTGTGAAGCAGAACTCAATGCTCTGTCATTTTCACTCATGGATTGTGAATGGTTGATGCAACTGTTTAAGGACATCAAAGTTTCTGTGAAATGTGCTGTACAAGTGTATCAAGACAATAGATCTTGTTTGGCTTTGCTGAACTCAGAGAGTTGCAAGCAAAGAACCAAGTACTTGCAGATTAAGCTACATCGTGCAAGAGAGTGTATTCAGAAAGGACTCATTCAGGTGTCCTACATGGCAGGAAATGAAATTCCTGCTGATCTGTTGTCTAAGGTTGTTAACAGAGAACAACTTAAGGTTTATGTACAGAGGTTGCAATTGGGTTGAACCACAGGTACTACAGGTTACACGGAAAGGGGGAGGATGTTAGGATATTTCCGTTCCACCTTAAAAGGGAGCAGGCTTTGTGAGTCACAGAGTCTGCGTATTTCCTGTTCAGAGGAAGTTTATGTTTTCTATTGCTTTCGTTTCTCTCTCTGTGTCAGAGACACTGAAGCTGGCAGTCATGTTTTTCTTTGTTCTGACCAACACTGAATAAACCTGTAAATAATACTCTCCTGCGTGCATCTTTCGCTGTGCATTATCTGCTGATAGAGCGTGCACCAGTTCTGGAATGTGGCAGGCTATTTCTGGAGCTCGTGTTGCTAATTGCTGATACTGCGTGTCTACGGGAGATCAATGGACGTCTGGAGACGACTTGTGGGGCGATGATGGACTTTGTCTCCCTGGCAGTATCCCAACATAAACTTGGATTACTGTGATGTTAAAAGGTCTGCCTTGGATTCGTATCGAGATCATTCTATCATTTTTGAGATTGCATCCCAGTACAGCCTTCGCCACTCTTTTGTTGACTATGAGGGCCACTCCATTTCTTTTACGGGATTCTTGCCCACAGTAGTAGATATGAACTGAATTTGCCCATTCCCGTCCATTTTAGTTCCCTGATGCCCAGGATGTCAATATTTATTCTTGCCATCTCATTTTTTACCACATCCAGCTTACCAAGGTTCATGGTTCTTACATTCCAGGTTCCTATGCAATATTTTTCTTTACAGCATTGGACTTTCCTTTCGCTTCCAGGCATATTCCCAACTGAACGTCCTTTCGGCTTTGGCCCAGCCGCTTCATCAGCTCTGAATCTACTTGTACTTGTCCTCCGCTCTTCCTCAGTAGCATGTTGGACGCCTTCCGACCTGAGGGGCTCATCTTCCAGCGTCATAACTTTTATATGCCTGTTGTCTTTGTCCATGGAGTTTTCTTGGCAGGGATACTAGAGTGGCTTGCCGGTTCCTCCTTCAGGTGGATCACGTTTGGCCAAAACTCTCCACTGTGACCTGCCCACCTTGGGTCACCCTGCACGGCATAGCTCTTAGCTTCTCTGAGTTATTCAAGCCCCTTCGCCACGGCAAGGCAGTGATCTATGAAGGGGCAACATATGAGACCCAAATGACCTGGACACTCTGGGACACCCCAAGGTAATTTCAGAGGAGTCGATATCCACATTGAGCCACGCATCCCATGACCTGTGACGTTTCTTGATGCAAGTGGAAGAGTGCTGTGGCATTTTATGAGTCTTTGTGTGCTGTGTATATACGCTTTCTTCTAATATGCCTCCTGGCAGCCTTTTCAAACCAGCCCTTCTGCTGAACAACTGGATAGCAAGGCTGTCCTATTGCAATAGTTTGAATAAACTGGGTCCCTGCAGGACTCTGAGTTTGGGCTCATTCCCTTGGTCCTGTGTTTATATTTCAGGTGTTCCTTCACCTGGGTAACAAACTCCTGGCGTAGAAGTAATTTTTTACCACACAAGCAATTCAGATACTTTATTTATTATTTCTATAGCTATTAAATTTGGGCAGTGCCCTTGATCTGAGGATGCCAGGGTGGTTCACATCATGAGTAGAGAGGTTCACAGAGCTTCCTCTTCCAGCGCCTCCAAGCTGCAAATTGGTGGGGCTCCTTGTTTTCTCCTGCTCTGGAGGGTGGGATCCGAACCAACGGCTTCAAGATAACAGGAATGGAGATTCTGGTTAAAATTCAGAAAGATCTCTTTGACAGTAAGAACAGTTCAACAGTGGAAGAGACTCCACCAGAAGGTGGTGGCCTCTTTTTCCTAGGAGGTTTTTAAGCGGAAGTCAGGTGGCCAGCTCTCATTGAGTTGAGATTCCTGCACTGCAGGGGGTTGGACTAGATGTCCTTTGAGGTGCCCATCTTATATTTGGGCATCTGCCGCTTCCTGCCCAAGTGCAGAACTTTACGTATGTCCCTGTTGAAATTCCTTTTGTTAGCTTGTGCCCAGGTCTCCAATCTGTTAAGCTCATGTTGAATCCTGATTCTTTCTTCTGTAACATTAGCTACCCCTCCCAGTTTGGTGTCATTGCAACTCTGATGAGCGTCCCCTCACGGATTGTCAAGCAAAGACACCAGCCAGGAATACAGGAGCAAAACAGCAGCCTGTAGGCCTGATCTTTATTTAAAATATGTTGCAACAGGACTTCCACCCACTGCATGGAAGAAGCAGGAAGAAGCCCCAAACAAAGGGATGCTTGTTCTTTAATCCCTTTTCCCTTTTCCTATAAACACCTTGGGTGAAGCATCATTCATACATCTTAGATACATCATGCATATGTCACAAACAGGGAGGTGTTTTCTTGGCAGAAACCAGTTCATCCCTCCCTTGCCCTCCACCTCGCACCCATCAAGTGATGCAAAGGAAATATCTACAAGTTCCTGGGTTTCCCTGCCAGGTAATCACACTTCTTTGTCCTGACCAGGACCTACTCCATTCCTGGATGGTCTGCTATTGTCCATGGGACGACTACCTGTCTGGCAGGTGATTATCTCTTGTTCAAGAGGCTGCTGAGTACAAGATCTCAGGTTTCAAGGATTATGGCTGTCTTGTTTCCCAAATTCCCCCTTTGGGAGCCATTTGTTCCCTGAGTAAAATGAAGTTGGAATGGTGTCGATCTGACATAGGGCTGATTTTATATGAAGGTTTTGCTGCATAAGGGAAGGTGAGTACTATGTAAGGTAAAAAGGTAAAGGACCCCTGGACGTTTAAGTCCAGTCAAAGGCGACTATGGGGTTGCAGCGCTCATCCCTCTTTCAGGCCAAGGGAGCTGGCGTTTGTCCACAGACAGCTGTTGTAAGAAAAAAACTGCTCCTTTCCCCTTATGGGGTACCCAAGAGCCCATATAGAGTCCTTAAGTGGGTTCCCTATCGGTAAGAGAAAATAACAGAGGCCAGCCAGAGAATATTGAGAAGCAAAGCAGCTAGTAAGCCTCATCTTTATTAACTGTGGCAACAGGGTGCTCACTGCCACACGCAGGAGGGACCCCAAAAATGGTGCGCAAGCCCTTATATAGGCATTTGAAATTGCCCAGCCTGGAGCCCACGACCCCCCCCCCAATATATCATACATACATCACAGAAGAGGCCGACTACAGCAAAAATCCTGTCTGCTAGGGTACCTCAAAAATGACCACGGATTGCATCACTTGGGCCGTCTGGCGATTCTTTTGTGATGGTAAATACTTAATTCCTGTGTCCAGGTCACAGGCTCACTCTATTCAGACACAGATACCCCTCAAGACAGGATTTGTGAGCACAGAGACAAGGGGGAGGTTTTCTCATTTCCTTTGTTCTTTCAGAGAAACATTTGAAGTCAGTTGGGGAGAGACAAAATGGTTTCAGGACTTTTCCCGTACTGATACTGTGGTGGTTTATAGGTGTATGTATGTGTCTGCCTGGTACATTTATGAACATTTATTTTATATCTTAGACCTTATAATTCTCATAACGCAGCTTTCCAGGTCATGTGGCCAGCAGGACTAAACCGCTTCTGGTGCAACGGGACACCATGACGGAAGCCAGAGCGCATGGAACTTGACCTTCCCGTCACAGTGGTACCTATTTATCTACTCGCTTTCAAACTGCTAGGTTGGTGGGTTTTTATGAGGATATTTGCAAAAAATAAATAAAAAATGTTTAAATAATTTTTATTGATTTTACACAATAAATCTCACATTTAACACATTTAAATTTTGAACTCAAACAAGATTCTTCCCAATCTCCCCTCCTCCCCTCCATGGTCCTTTGTGTATCTAAGAAACTGCATATTATAGTTCATCCGCACTATAGTCCTCCAAAATGTCCAAAGTCTTTGTAACATTGCAGGAGTTACTGAGACCTGCCAAAGAGCTCGAGTGATTACTGTGTTCTTTTAAGTACAGTCTGTATTTGTCCCATTCCCCACTGAAGTTTTCATCCTCCTGGTTTCTGATTTTCCCTGTCAGCCTCGCCATCTCTACATATTCTAGTAGTTTCATCTGCCAGTCTGCTTTTGCCGGCATCTCCTCCTTTTTCCATCGCTGGGCAAACAGCATCCTTGCAGCTGTAGTTGCTTACATGAGTAGTCTTCTCAATTCCTTTGGTATGTCTGCACCTAAAATTCCCGAGAGAAAGGCTTGTGGTCTTTTGACAAAAGTTATTTTAAACATTTTTTAAAAATTCATTATATATCCTTTCCCATAAGTCTTTATCTTTTTATAATTCCACCACATGTGGTAAAAGGTGCTCTTCTTTTTCTTAAATTTCCAATTCAAAACTGAATGGTGGTTTGTGGGGTGGTCTGGGGATGCAGCGTCCTGTTTCATTGGAAACAACTTCCCCCAAAAAACCATTATAAAAATTCCAGTAACAGTACACACGGCTACTAACAGTTGCCCTTTGGCTGTCCATAAGAAGTTTATACCTTAACATAAGAAGTTTATACCTTGTAGTTTATACAATGCAAATACCTTTGGATTTATACCATAAAGTTGGCTAACTGAAAGGACAAACAAATTGTTCAGGGCTGAAGCAGCTTCCTTATGAGGAAAATTTGTCACATGCAAAAGGTATTCTCGGGTGGAATTCAGTCACAACTAGGGAAGCCTCAGTCAGATCTGTAACAGCAGCCAAGAGCGGAAAGATGCTACTTTTAAGGACGGTCCCCAAGAGAACCTAGTGACATAGAGAAATTACAAAATGGAATACAGACGCCCTTTTCCTCCTCTGCATTTCGGATTTGATGTTTTCATGCGTTGCTATATCGTTGTAACATTTTGAAGAGGGGGTCCCAGGGGGCTGGGAGGGGGAGCAGAAAGAGCAGGTGGAGTGGGGAGACATGCTTCATAGACATTGGATACAAAAGTATGTATTCCACTTCTGGGGGGGGGCATCTGTATAGTAGCATCATTTGCTTTGTGTCTATATTTCAGCCATAAATATCCTATGTTCTTCTCTGTTAGTGAAGTCGCCTTTGAAGCAACACAGGAGCTGCCAAGGGGATTTTCCTAGGAAGCCTTTTATTCCCCCTCTGGTGACATTCTTATAAGTTTGTGGGTGCCCAACCCCCGCAAAATACCTCATAAATGTTGGAACTGGATTTAGACTTGGGTTGCCAACACCGGGTGCCAGACCCGTGTGGATGAAACGGTGTGTTTGACGCTCCTCATCCTCTGGAATCAGCGTGTCTTCACAGCTCCTTCAACCAGGCGAGGAAGGACGCCTGGATCCAGAATTGGCCCCCACGGTCACTGAGGGCCTCATGGTTGAAACCGTGTTTAGGGAAGACAATCTTACTCGGCTACGAGGGACGCCAGAGAAGAAGGGTTGCCATGTGTCCTCTTTTCCCAGGACACGTCCTCTTTTTCAGGGGTAAAAGTTCTGTCCAGGTGGATTTTTTGGTCAAAATGTCTCTGGCCAGACGTTCTGGAGGAGACATAACTGGGGGTGGAAGACTTGCGTTCCTCTTCTCTTCTCCTGCCCCCCCTCAGCAAAACATCTCACAGCTTCCCTAGCCTACATATAGTAGGAGTACTTAAAAGGAGAGTCATCATCGCATCCTCGTTTTTGCTCCTCAAAATCTGCCCACCCTCCCAGAGAAGGGCAACCAAGGAGATGAAGACTCCGTCCTCTTCCTTCTGTGACGGCAGGTTGCTCTTGCTCCTTGTCCGCCTTCCAAAATGAAGAACAGAATCCTAAAGTTGGAAGGGACCCCAAGGTCCATCTAGGCCAGGGGAGGCAACCTAAGGCCCGGGGGCCGGATGCAGCCCAATCGCCTTCTCAATCCGGCCCCCGGACGGTCCGGGAATCAGCGTGTTTTTACATGAGTAGAATGTGTCCTTTTACTTAAAATGCATCTCTGGGTTATTTGTGGGGCATAGGAATTTGTTCATTCCCCCCCAAAAATATAATCCGGCCCCCCACATGGTCTGAGGGACGGTGGACCGGCCCCCGACTGGAAAAGCTTGCTGACCCCGGATCTAGGGCTGTTTTTAAATGTCCCAACGCTGCCTGGCACTGGTCCCTCCAAATGCTCTTGTCTGGCTGGTCTTTCTTCACCCAGTCATGTCAAGGAGCAGCATGGGGGCTAAAAGGAGGAATAAATGGAGGACAATATCCCACTCCCCCCAGAAAAGCTCTTCTTTCTCTTTCTGTGGAGGGTCTAGGCCCCTCTTGAAGGACCTTTGCCTTGCTCCAATCAGGTTGTATATTTCCACCCCTTGGGACGGGACCGAAATATTTGACTTGCCTCATTTTGAAAACTGGCATTTTGAAGCTTTGACCATTAGGCCTGCACACCATCAGCTTTTACAGTGGTACCTCGGGTTAAGTACTTAATTCGCTCTGGAGGTCCATTTGTAACCTGAAACTGTTCTGGGGCCTCCTGAAACTGTTCATGTGCCGCCGGAACATGATTTCTGTTCTCATCCTGAAGCAAAGTTCTTAACCCGAGGTACTATTTCTGGGTTAGCGGAGTCTGTAACCTGAAGCGTCTGTAACCCGAGGTACCACTGTACATACTTTACATTTGCTGAGGCAAAATCTCCACCCCCAACATTGCTTGCGGCAGTTCTGCCCTCGCCTTAATCTCCTCCATTTTTAAAGGAAGCATCTCTTTTCATGGGCCATCTTGGCCTCCCTGTCTCTTTCTTCTTGGGCTCATCTCTCTCTCTCTCTCTCTCTCTCTCTCTCTCTCTCTCTCAGCCTGTATCTCTGCTAGATGAAGGGCAGCTGCCATTCTGGCCTCTTCTCTTTCTTTCTCTGCTTGAACCTTAGACAATTCCAATCTTAGCCTCATCATCTCTAATTCAATATATTAGGATTCTCCTCAGACGCAGCAGCTGGGTCATCCTGAGTCTCTTTGGCTTGGCGCTTGCTGGTCATTTTCTGACAGGAATTTTTTCTCTTTTTAATCAAAGAACTTCACTCCTTTATTAAACTGGTTGTTCTGTGTCTCTGGGTACGTTTCTGTGTGGGTTTTAACTTCGTATCACGGCTCTTTTCCCCCCCGGCACCCTTGGGCCTGCCCTTCAGGGTTGTCGTTTTGAGACCCCACTTCCTCCATGTGTTTCAATTAATTACTTTTTCTGGAAGGGACTGTGTATTACTGCTCCCCTGAGTCTCCTTTGATTTCATCTCCCAAGGTAGAGACTTCAGTTACTGTTTTCAGCCTAAATGAGCAGGAACCTCTTGGAAACGTTGCTCTAAACTGATCAGCTGTTTGAGCTCATCTGACTTTTCTCCCATCTGTCCAGAGCTTTGTCAATTCGGCTACCCAGTTGGGCCTAAGTCTCTCCTGGTTTTCTTTTAATTTCACGAAAGGCTTTTTGGCTTTGTTCTGCAGTCAGTCCAAAGCGCACTTTCACTCTCTCTTTAAATGTGAGGGAATCAGAGGTTTCATCCTCTCTGAGATCTGAGTATATTTCACTCAAAATTCCACATATCTGTGGGCGTAAGTGCAGCATCCAGTTTTCCTCATGAATGTTTAAGTCTGCCAGTCCGCTCAAAACTAAATAGGATCTGTGTGGGTTTTAACTTCATATCCCACCTCTGCCCTCAATTAATATGCGAAGACGCAAGGGCTCTTTTCCCCCCGGCAGCCTTGGGCCCGTTCTCTCTCTTAAATATAGTGCACCCACCTCACAGAACACAATTTCCACAAATGCCCTCCAACTACCTCAGATTATCTTGTGGGGGACTTGCGTGAGGTAAAACTTACTAATTGGGAGTCTCAGGCAGGATTTCTTCAAATAAAGATTAACGATTTTATTTAACAAGGAAGTTTATGACACGAGTGGATAAAACATAGGATATTTCAGTTTACAATGTTATTTCCCTTCAAGGTTTTCTCAGTTGTTTCACACGTAATACTTTGGTTCTTAACAAGGTGGCACTTTCTGCCAGTTACACACCCCTTGGACAACCCTACTCCCAAGGTACTCCAAGCCAAAGACCCAAGGGATCTCTGGTTTGGGAGTCTTCTCTTTCTAGAAGGATCTCTCCCCTCCTGACTGGGATGAGAGCTCAGCAGCCGGTCTCTTTCCAGCTCCTCCTTCTCCTGGCTCAGCCTCCCAGTTCATTCCTGGCCTGATTTACTCTCCCAGGACACCACACACTGTCCTTCCCACTAAGCTCAGAGACTCCTTTCTCTAGCTGGTGATCTTTTCCTCAGAGTGGATGTTTCCACCCAGAACCAGCTCCTCTCACTCCCCATCTTCCCCACCTCCCTCCAAAGCTCCTAGCCATGGGGTCAAATGGGCCCAGGTCTCCCCACTCCAGGGCTCTTAGTCCGTCCGCTAAACCACAGTTAGGGCGGGTGTAGGATATTCTCCTAGGTGCCCAAACCTGCCACTTCTCCATGTTCTTTTCTGATAGATCAAGACGCACGGCAAGGACATTGTCCGGGTGCTGCCCTGAGCTTATTGCAGCCTGATGCCAACAAACAGACGTGCGTGTCCTGTTTGTTGGCAAGTAAAGCAACACCCCTCCCTGGTTGGGATGGAGGGTCTCGCCTCTGGAATGGTGGAAATGACCATCCAGCCATGTGGTTGGTCAGGGGCCCAGGCCTCTCCTGAATCGTCTTCTGAGGGTCTCAGGATGGGTGATGAATTTCAGGGAATTGGATTGGCAGGCAGTGCCCCTCTGCATTTGTCCCTGCCCTGCCCCTCAGTGCAATGAGTTCTGGGCAGCCTGCAGAATTCTCCAGTTCTAGGATTCCACGACACCCCAGATCACTCTCTGTATCTGGGAAGGGACTGCAGCAGAGCTGTGAAGTCACTGAGGGGGGAAGAGGAGACAAGAAGAGCAAGCTTTCTCTTGGCTAAAAACCAAACACCCCAGAAGGAGCAGGAAAGGCCCAGAGGGGGAGAGGCTCTGCAAGGACATCTCCCTGGCGGGCCTTTTCCTCGCCAGGCTCTCCGGGCACCAGATAGGCTTTCATTTTAATGCCAAGGACGCCCTGAAAGGACTTAGACCAGTCATGACGTGAAGGAGGCATTGAAGGAATAAATCATAATTTGGGTCAGCCACCGGCCATAGCAATAAAAAAAACAAACGATATAACAAAGAAAAAATCAAAATCAAAAGTCAGTTATATAAAATACTTTTAAGGGTTCTGAGTCAAGAGTCAAATGGTGGATCTTATTCTAATTGCCCCAGCTAAAAACCTGTGAAGAAGGTATTAAACACCTTGGCCAAGAACTTGCAAGTCGTAGCTCTGGGTACGTAGTAGGAATTCCTATTGGGCACAAGATGTGGCAAAGAACCCGGCTGCAAACCTCACCCTCATATTATTTAAAGTCTCCTAAAATTAAATCTGTATACAGCCACTACTACAGTTTGCCTCCAATGTGAATTCTTGATGGGAAGCATATATAGAGCTCACAATAAATATACTGCACTGAAGAACCTGGAACTCTAAGCATTTCTGCTAAAGCGCCGCAAAGATTTTGCGACAGGGAGGACTCTCCTGAAGCCCTATAGACATCTCCAAGGTGCGCAGGGGAATGAGAGGGGGAAAGCCCCATTGTGGGACTGATGGGGTGAATCCTGGCCACTCTTTGGTATGGGGTGTGAACTGCTTAGAAGCCTATTTGAGCCTTCAACCCTCCTTCCTTGGCGGTTCCTCCCACCATTCCTCTGTGTCCACCAGTCCATGACATCCTCTCTCCCCACATGGCCCCTTCCTCCTACCTGCTCTGGGTCCACAGGGGCAGCTTCCCCTCCGCCACCAAGAAAAGATGGACAAGCAGGTCTTGCTGGCATCGTTCCGTCTCCTGCGAGAGAAGAAGGTAAGTGGGAAGCCAAGAGCGCATGCTTCACTCCGAAGGAAAACTACAGGTGCGCCTTCAAACAAGTAGGAGTTGCCACCTAAATGTGGACATTTGCACCCATTTGACATACTAGTTGTGCAAAAATACATCTCCCTTTCTCTGGACTCTTGGTCCCCTGTGACTTCTCCAATAAGATGAAAAGAATTCACAGATTAGTTTCAAAATCCACAGCTTGCGAGCAGACGGAGAAAGGACTCCTTCCTCCTTACCCAGAGGCCTCTCTCTGGAGTCCAAGGGAGTCTTCTCTGCCTCAGAGGAATCCGGACCCATTTCTGCTAACAGATCCTGCCCCTGAGAGAGCAACAAGGATTCAAGAGAGAGAGTGGGGAGAAGGATTAGAAAAGGAGCAGCAGACGCAAACACTTTAGGGCTGTCCAATATCATTCCTCGGATGCTCTCCAAAAAAGGATGGACCATTAGTAAATGATTTGGGAATACTCTCCCTCCTCTTAGGAGCCCCTTGGGAGTCTCTCTCACCTGCTGCTCTGCCTGACTCAGAAGGAAACCTTCAACCAGGGCCACTGCCTGGGAACTGGTCTCCGCTCCGCATTTCCTCACCCAGTTCTACATCTCTGGAGGAAGGACAGCCAGGAACTGCTCCAAGATCACCAGGTCCAGCATCTCAGCTTTCGTGTGTCTTTCTGGCTTCAGCCATTGACAGCAAAGGTGGTAGAGTTGGCTGCAAACCTCTCGGGGTCCTTTGGCCTCCTGGTATCAGAACTGAGCTGCTGGCTCTGCACCTCTGAGCAAGGGGTGTCCTCCTCACCCAGGATCTTCTGCACGGAGTTTTCCCAGAATCCTCCACTGCTCCCATGGTGGGTTGCAAGGACTCTTCCTGCTTCAGGGCCAGCTGAGTCTTGCTCATCCATCTCTGTTCCCAGGAGATCGGAAGGAGTCCCTAGGTCTTCTGCCAAGTTCTGCCTGTCCTACTGAGAGGTGCCAGAGAATCCTGTAAAGCAAATGCATTCTTCTACTACCAGATTGATACACAGTCAGGAGAAGAGAAATGTTCCCTGGGCAAGCATGGATGAGTCTGAATCACAGCCCAGACTCGGAGTTCAAGCACCATATTCCCATATTCTGAAGACAGACTTCTGTCTTTGTTCTGAGGGCAACTCTCCCCCCCTCAGAAGCATGGCTGCCTCCCACTGGGGGGCCTGGAGCCATCGCTAGCCCTCTGCTCCTCCCTGAATGGGCCTCATCCTCTTCTCAAGCCATCTCTTCCTCCTGTGGGAGGGAGTTCCATGGGTCTAACTGCGCACTGGGAGATGGAAGGACTTTGTTTAGCACAGAGGCCAAGTTTTTATTTCTGCCTCCAAATGTTTCCATCTGGCTGCCACCTGGGCTAAGGAACGTGGCCGATTCCTCAATCCCATCAGGGTTCCTTTGCAGGCCCTTTTCTTCCTGACTCAGTGACCCCTCCCCAAAGGAGCAAGACAAGAGTTGCAGACCTCCTGTTACTTGCAGCCTCCCTGGCTTTGCAGAGAGAAGGGGGGCAGAACCTCTTAGCCCTGGCTTGGGGATCTCCTTGCAGGAGCTGAGCAGAATCCCCACGGATCTCCATCATGACTCCCTGGCCCTCATGGCTGTTCTTCTGAACCCTTGCAAAGCGGAGCTCTCCCTGCTCCCTTCTCTCTCTCTCTCTCTCTCTCTCTCAGGAGCCAGGGCCCCAGAGGGGTCTTCTTTGGGGGACCCTCCCCTGCAGCCCTGGGACCCCCCATCTCCCCAAGGCAACTCACCGGATCCCAGAAGGCGCCCCCAGGCAGCACTTGTGGAGCAGAGAGACAAAAGCCCGGATGGGGGCGGAGCTTGTACTCTGGGGAGCCTCCTCCCTTTATTCCTCTCTAGGAAGCCAGCTTGGTGCCCCTTGACCCTTTTGCTGGTCCCTCCCTTTCTGCGGAGGAGCCCCGGGCGTGGCGCAGGTGCAGAGCTGCTCCATCGGGGGACTTTGGGGGCCTGGCGAGCTTCTCCCTCCGCGGGGAACAGATTTCTGTACATCTCAAGAGTAGTAAGAATGTATTCCTTCCCACCCTTTGCTTGAGAAGTAAAACTCTGCAAGTGTTTGGCTCCAGGGTCCCTTGAGAGAGAATTGGTTCCGACTCTCTGAGCAAAGAGGAAGGAAAAGGGGGTCCTGCAAGGAGAGGATGAGGGGAAGACCCCCTTTTCTAGGGGTGGGGGAGAGGGATTGGGCTCCCAGGTCAAGAGAGCACCTTGTATCCTGGCACTGAAAAGACACCCTCCCGACACACACTTTGTGGCATCTCCTTTTGGCAAAGGGTCAAAACTGTTGGTTTGCAATCCCCCTCCACAGAGGCTGGCCCCTCTCACTGTCCTCGGAGCTTGCATACCGGTAACCTCCTCTGGCTGACATCCAGACAGACCAGGGAGATTTTGATAGGCGACATTTTCCCAAGCGTGGGTAAAATGCACAACCCCTCCCTCCTGCTTCCGCAGGGGGAAAAAAATAAGTCAGAAATCTATTTACATGATGTTTATTTCTGACATTACAGCACTAGAAAAAACACGTCCTTTCAGTTCAGTTCTTCTAGCAAGTCTGACAAACTTCCTGAACATGCAAAGTCGGAAGGTTTCAAATTACACTCTTCACAAAGACTTATCCAGCCTGTGAACGTCCTGGGAAACTCTTCTTTCCCACAGATAGGCGCATCATGTGATGTCAACAATCTGGCTGTCTGCAGCAGTGATGTTTCCATATACTGACAAAAACATAGTTCCAACTTGAAAACCACCTCCAGGACCAGCTCCCCTCAATAAGCTTTGGACTACAACTCCCAACCGGGCCTGCCAGCAGAAGGCAGGGTGGATGGAAACAGCCGTCCAAAAGGTCCAGCCAGCCCCAGAGGCGACCCAAGGCTGCTCTCCAACGGGGCGCTGCTCCAGGCATCTGAGTTGCCCAGCTCAAGGGAGCTGGTGGGACTAAAAACTGGGGTTCCTGAATTGAGGGGTTGGACTAGATGAGCCTGGAGTGTCCTCTTCCAGGATTCCTCTTCTGGCTGCCAATGCCACGGCTGGAATGTTTCCCAAAACTGCCCCCCCCTTTCACAAGGAGCTCTCCCCCCCCCCCGTGTCTTAAACTACCCTTTGACTGGCAACCATCTCCAATCTCCTTGGTGGACAATCCCAACCAAAGATGCATTAGATTCTCTGAAATCTACTCAGGAGTCCTGTAGTGATTTCATGCTCTTTATTGCAGCTTGCAAAAGAGTGATTTAATTGCTCCCCAAACCTCAGGCTGTTCCCGTTGCGTCCAGAAGGTTAGCATTCGTAGTCGTTGAGGTATGCCGGTCACCTATTTAGGCCTTGTGGTCTTGGGTGTCTCTCAGTAGGGGTTCCTGGTTCTGGCTCTTGTTCCAGGGCTGCCGGCTGTGACAGGGCCGTTGGGTTGGATGCTGCTGGTCCACTCGGTTGTGGTTTTGGTTCCTGTGGCTGCTCGGCCTCGGTCACTTCTGGACTTCCTAGTTCTGCCTCCCTTACCCGCTCCTCCTGCTCTATGGGCCTCACCCTTCTGCTATCCCCTTGGGATTCCTCTGCCCAGCCCTCCTTGCAGTTCCCCCCCAGGAATCATCCGGAAGTTCAATAGTCCCAAGAAGGCTTGGAGTTCCGTCTTACCCTTAGGTGCAGGGGCGTCGCAAATAGTCCTCACCTTGTCCCCGATTAGGTGGACTCTTAAAACCCACCAGGGTGGCAAGGACATGGCTGACCATTGGCACCGGGTATGCATGAGCCATAAGGGCCTTGTTTATGGTACATTTGTAGTCTACGCAGATGTGGACTGAGCCATTGGGCTTGACGGGTGTGATGATTGGGGTTTCCCAGGGGGCATTAGGCACAAGCTAGAGCACTCCTTGCTCCATGAGCTGGTCTAATTCCTCGCCAATGTGGGGTTTTGAGGGCAAACAGGACCTGGTGGGCCTTGAACCCGATGGGTCGTATGGCGGGGTCTAGTAGGCCTACGGGGGGGCAGTATATCATCCCAATGCCCCATTGAAAACCTCTTGAAACTCTTTGCACATGGCGTCCACGTCCACGTGGGAGCTGGTGCGGTTAACCCCGCTGATGGCTAGCCCCAGTGGCCCAAACCACGCCAACCCCAGTAAGCTAACGTAGCGCCCCTTGACCACGATCAAGTCCAACTGCCACTTCTGCCCTCAATATTGTACATTGAAGGTTCCCACCCCCATTGTGTTTGTGGAAGTCTCCTAGAGGGTGAATGGGGCTGGCCAAACTTGGAGCCGCCACTGGGACACAATTTCCTTAATGTCCATGCCAAGATTATGGACAGGAGTGAGCCTGTATCAAGCTCCAGGCGGAATGGGGCTGCCCCTATCTGTGCCTCAATGTAAATTGTTTCCGCATTAGAATGAGGCAGCTGATATACCTGACAGTCTGTGATCTCCGTTGAGTTGCCTTGGTGTGTAAGACCACAGGGCCTGGGACTCTTGGGTGGGCCATCTGGTTCGAGGCGTCGGGCAGGGCAGGCACGGCACACCCGGGCGATGTGTCCCACTTTTCTGCATTGTCGGCATTCCGCGTTGGGAAATGGCAAGTCCTCTGCTCGTGGCTCTCCCCGCAACTTGCACAGTTCCCGTCTTCCGGACGAGGCTGTCGTGGTGGGTGTGCAGCTTATGTTTGCTGCTGCACTCAGTGCACGTCCTCCCAGTCGAATTCTGAGTCGTCGGTGAGGTCCTCATGGTGGATCCTCGTCTGGGATAAAATGTTTGATTGGAATCCTTGCGCTGACCTCTCTGCAGCTTCAGTTGCTAAAGCCTCCTCTAGGGCAGCCTGGAGCATCAGGTCCTTCTTGGCGTAGAGGCGCCACTGCAGCTTCTCGTCCCTCAGGCTGCCCACGAAGCAGTCGCCAAGCATGTTCTCCAGCTCTGTGACGTTGCAGAGCCTGGCAGCCTGGCAGAGGGAGGTCACATACCCGGCTATGGTTTCTCCGGAGACCTGCCGCTTTGCCTAGAAGGCATTTCGACACGCTACCCCTGAGGGTTGTTGCGAGAAGTGCCCCTTCAGCCGTTCTATTATCGTGTCGCAATATTTGTGGGAGCGAGAAGGGCTCAGGCGATCTTGAACGTTTCTTCTCCACAGATGCTGAAGAAGGTTGCCCTCTACTTGGCTGTGTCTCATGACGTCCTTTGCCTCCAGGAGGAACTGGAAGCGGGTGGCGTATCCTTCCCAGTCTCCTGAGGCTGGGCTGAATGGCATGAAGCGGTTGTCTGTCACCATTCTGGGTCCTTGGGTCCTGGAGCTGTAGCCTGGATGCGCAGTGCGATGCTGTGTTGCCTGTGGCAGCTGTGTGCGTTGCACGGCAGACAGCTCAGCAGGATCCCACCTTCATCGCCAGTGAAATATATTCGGAGTCCTGTAGTGATTTCATGCTCTTTATTGCAGTTTGTAAAACAGTGATTTAATTGCCCCCCAAACCTCAGGCTTTTATATACATTATTTACACAATGAGTCCCGTCTGATTGGCTGCTTCTGTTGGGATCCTGCCAGGGAGACAGAGGCATCAGGCCTCCATGTCGTCTCCAGACGATCTCTGGTCTCCCGTTGGAACAGCATCAGTCAATTAGCGACACGACCCTCAGACGCATTCCAAGACTCATGCACGCCCTTCTCGCAGAGTTTCCACAACGGAAGATTCACCCAGGAGAGCATATTTACAGCTTTATTCAACGTTGGTCAGAACAAAGAAAAAACATGACTGCTTGCATTCATGTCAAGGAAAGCAGCCAGAACAAAAGCTATATACAAAACGGAAACTCCCAGTGAGCAGGAAGTAAACAGGCATGTGACACACAACAGCCTGTTCCCTTTTTTAAGGAGGAACGGAAATATCCTAACAGATTCTGCTTCCCTCCTGGAGCCTGATTGGTCTTTTCCTGCAAGCCAATCAGTTGTTGCATTCTAGGATCCTACTTGCCTATTGTTCTGGGATCCAAGCTTAGTACATAACAATCTCCTTCCTCCGTGTCCCCAGTTCTTAAATAGGCTTTATTTCAAAACAGGGTGGGGGGTAGAGATGGCTTAGTCTTCCAAACAACCCTTTATCCATTAGTTAGTAGACAAGCTTCGCAGTGTAAGGAGAGGAAAGCAGACCTTTGAGCCCAGCCTGCCCCCCCCAAATTCTACCCGCATGCCTTGAGGCCCCAAGTTGAACGGAGGAAGGCCTGGGGGGCAGCTGCTGGCTGGGACTTTGATTGGGGCAGAGTGGGGGCACAAGGAGAGGGAGACAGGAAGACCGGCCAGGGGGTGGCACTGGGGAGATTTATTCACATTGGTTTTCTACCCAAAAACCACTACCCCTGGCTGTGAGGAGGGTGGCGCCTCCTCCATGAATTCCTCTTCCACTCCCAGCCACTCTGCTCAACCCTTTGCTAAAATCCTGCTCTCCCTCCTCTCCGTCTCAGAGGCTGGGCTTTCTGTCTCATCTCAAGAACCGCCAAAGCGCCCGCAATTGCCTCTTATCTTCCAGCCAAACCATCCACATCAATCCTAAGCATCTCCTGTTCTGATTTCCATTTTTTGTCTTCTTTTCCAGCTTTTCAGACTTCTCCCTTCCTTCCTTTCATGGAGATATCTAGTGCTTGTTTTCTTTGTCAGTGTCTCTGGTTTAGTGGTCAAATTTGTCTCCATTTCATTATTTTTATCAATTCGGGCTAATAGCTTCTCCAAATTTAACACAGGCCTGGTGTTAACTGTTTTTGAACGGCCATATTCCAAATCTCCCTCTCCATTGTTCTCAAAGCAGCCTATTTTCCAGCAGCACCTTATCAGTTTGTCAAGGTCACAGAATAACTCTTTCCTAAGAGATCCTGTTTCCTGCATTTTTCCAGCCCTTCTTCTTCCATCCAGCCTGATACCCAACACACATAAGATGTTTAACAGAAAATCCAATTTCTCAAATTAAGATTCAAATTAAACAAATAAACCAAATAATTACTTTAAGAGAGGAATCATAAAAAAGAAAAAAAGAATGTGTTCAAGAATACATAGCAATTTAGGTGTCCAGATAAGAGTGGTTGTCTTGCAGGAATCCAATTCTCTTTAAGTGGCTCAGAGTAGAAGAAATATTTTCCTTCAAAGAGAAACGAACTTGTCCAAACCTGTCTTGATTTTAGCTTTTTCAGGGAGCTCTAAGTCCTTTTAAGAGCTCCAATTGTGTTAAGAACTTAAAAAATGAGACCAGACTTTTATAAATCCCTCCAATAACACTCTTGGCACTGATATAGTTTCTACCTTGTGTGAATTCTCTGATGAGAAATGAGATTGTTGCTTTGACTGAAGCTCTTTCCACATTCCAGGCACTGAAAGGGTTTCTCCCCTGTATGAATTCTTTGATGGGAAGTGAGTGTGGAGCTGTTAATGAATCTCTTTCCACATTCCAAGCACTGATACGGTTTCTCCCCTGTATGTATTTTTTTATGGAAAGCAAAACTCTGTTTCCAGCTGAAGCTCTTTCCACACTCCAAGCACTGATAGGGTTTCTCCCCTGTATGAATTCTTCGATGGGAAGTGAGATCTGAGCAATTTCTGAATCTCTTTCCACATTCCACGCACTGATAGCGTTTTTCCCCTGTATGAATTCTACGATGGGAAGTGAGATCGTGGCTGTGACTGAAGCAGTGATATGGTTTCTCCCCTGTATGAATTTTACGATGGCAAGTGAGATTGTGGCTTTGACTGAAGCTCTTTCCACACTCCCAGCAGTGATATGGTTTCTCCCCTGTATGAATTCTACGGTGGGCAGTGAGATTGGAGCCCTGACTGAAGCTTTTTCCACATTCCACGCACTGAAAGGGTTTCTCCCCTGTATGAATCCTTTGATGGGACGTGAGATGGGCCCTCTGACTGAAGCTTTTTCCACATTCTAAGCACTGATAGGGTTTCTCCCCTGTATGAATTCTACGATGGGAAGTAAGATCGTGGCTGTGACTGAAGCTCTTTCCACACTCCAAGCAGTGATAGGGTTTCTCCCCTGTATGAATCCTTTGATGGGAAGTGAGATGGGCACTCCGTTTGAAGCTCTTTCCACATTCCACGCACTGAAAGGTTTTCTCCCCTGTATGAATTCTTTGATGGGAAGTGAGATGGGCACTCTGATTGAAGTTCTTTCCACATTCCAAGCACTGATAGTGTTTCTTCTCAAGGGGATTTCTTTGATGGGAAGTGGAATGGGAGCTCTGACTGAAGCTCTCTCCACAGTCTGAATCCTGATATGGATCCTCTACTGTGTGGATTTCGTTGTGGTCTCCCTTGTTCTTCATTTCCAATTCATCCCCACCTGAAACTAAGAGGCAAACGGATTAGAGTCTCGGGAAGAAGTGCAGCCCCAAATTACGGAACAATGCTAATTAATGCTTGGGACAGAGGAAGAACTGAAGGGAGTTAGATGTTATAATGTTCCTTTTGTTCTGTAAAATTGTCTAGTTTCGTAAACAAATCAAGTTGAATATTAGATGTTTTCTCTCTCTAGTTTTTAAAAGTACAGCTTAGTGTACTGGTAACATCATTTTGTTTAAATTTAAATATGGATCTGTACTATCTTCATAAATAAAATGTGCTTTTATTATTATTTAAAAGGTGGCCAAAGCGGGAAAGTTCCCTGTCCAAAATGAAGATATACAGTGGTACCTCGGGTTACATACGCTTCAGGTTACAGACTCTGCTAACTCAGAAAGAATGCTTCAGTTTAAGAACTTTGCTTCAGGATAAGAACAGAAATCATGCCCTGGCGGCGCAGCGGCAGCAGGAGACCCCATTAGCTAAAGTGGTGCTTCAGGTTAAAAACAGTTTCAGGTTAAGAGCAGACAACCGGAATGAAGTAAGTACTTAACCCGAGGAACCACTGTATTCAATATGCTAAGTTGTACAATATGCAGTAATAAATCTAAACAATTTTTTTAAAAAAATAATCTTTATTGCTTTTAAAACTTACAAGAAAAGAAGAAAGAAGAAAATAGGCAAAAGAAAAAGACAAAATAGAGCAGAGAAGGAAAAAAAAGAAAAGAAAAGAAAAAACAATACAATACAATAAACAATACAAAACACAACCTTAACACACTAAACTAAACAAAGCAAAAGAACAACAATTTAAAAACATATATCATACCATTTCATTACTCTATCTTTCATTCCCTTATTTCATCAACCTCCTCTCACCTCCCTTTTTGTATTCCACTTCTATTACTTGTTTCAGCAATTCCTTTCCATCTTTCTCTATTTTTATCATTATGAATATCTTAACATATTTTGTACCTTATTTTCCATTAATACTGAAATACTTATTTATACCTAACTCCTTATAACATTTCTGCTAAAGCCATAAAATTTCATTCCAACAATTTTCTAACACTCATTAAAGGGCAGAACTGGAGGAAGAATATTCACAGGGAAAACAATCAATAGCCATCCCTCCAAGGTTTGCTGTGGGAGTGTTAACATCCCAGGTGCTGTGGGTGGCGCTGTTGAGCCCCATTGAAATATCAGAGGTTCGTCACATAGAGAGATGTCTTGAATTACAAAACAGATAGGATGATCCAATAGGGAGCCTTACCGAGAGAGTCCAAGATCCCACGATTCTCCTCCATGACTTCCTTATGGAGAGCTCTCTGGTCAGGATCCAGCAACGCCCACTCCTCGTCTGTGAAATGGACAGCCACATCTTCAAAGCACACTGGACCCTAACAGAACAGGAAAAAGGCTGTCCTCTTAGAGAACATTCACTTGGCTCTGTTGTTTTCTACAGCGGCCAGACCCCTCTCTGCCTTCCTCATCCCTCTCTCCTGCTGCAGCTTCTGCCTCGGAGTCTGGGCTGCTCTCTGCCACAGACTCCCTCTGCTCCCTGAGCCCTCTTCCCTCTCCAGCTTCAGACTCCTCCTCCTCCTCCTCCCAGTCGGCTCCCTCTTCTCTGCCTCCTCCCACCATTCCTCTGCATCCAACTGTGTCCAGCCAGTCTGCATCCAAGCAGTCCTTCCCCACAAGGCTCCTTCCCCTACCTGATCTGGGTTCACAGCTGCTGCCTCCTCCACCACCATGAAAAGATGAAGGAGCAGGTCTTGGTGGCATCATTCCGTCACCTGGGAGAGACCAAGGTAAGTGGAAACCGTGAGCGCCTGCTTCTCTCAGAGGTGAAACAGTGCATCTCTAAGTACAGATGGGGCTTGTCCAAGTCTCCCCTGCTAGCTTCCGGTTCCGCTCTGCTTTAATGGAGGCAGCGGGAGATCGTTGGCAAAGGAAAAACAAGGATGACTGAGGGTAATTCTCCTTGCAAGTTTCCCCCAGGGACAGGGGGGAATGGGCTTCACTCCCAGTTTGTCTCGGTACCAGGTTCCGGCTCCGGCATGGATTGCGAGAGGCAGGGAGGCGCTGAGTGCAAAAGCTCTTCGTCTGCCAAAAACCCTCCTGTGCTGCCATTAAGAAGCAGAGGTTCTCCTGTCAATTAGAGCTCAATTTGGACTAATGAGATGAGATCATAAACTGCGGAATTGAACCAGCTGCAGTAAAAGTCTCCCCTGCTGAGTACATTTGGACTCATTTGTACCCATTTCATATAATAATTGTGCAAAAATACATCTCCCCCCCCTCTGAGCTCTGGGCTCCAGGTGCCTTCCCCCAAAAGATGTAAAGAACTCACAGATTAGTTTCAAAACCAAGAGAATGTGACAAAACGGGGGAGAAAACACTCCTTCCTCCTTACCCAGAGGCCTCACTCTGGCGTCCAGCGGAGTCTTCTCTGCCTCAGAAGACTCAAGACCCATTTCTGCCAAAAGATCCTTCCTCTGAAAGAGCAACAAGGATTCAAAACAGAGAATGGGGAGAAGGGTTAGAGAAGGAATGGCAGAGGCAAGCGCTTTCGGGGGGACAGAGGTGAAAGCTGCTTCCTGCTTCTGCTAGACTGGTGTCTGGGGTTGGCTGCCAGGACCATGAAACATTGGTCCTCAAGGATCTTCACTGGCTCCCAGAACGTTTCCCAGCACAATTCAAAGTGTTGGCCTCAAAGGCCCAGTATACCCAAAGGAGCGTCTCCATGAACTGAGGTCCAGTTCCGAGGGTCTTCTGCTGATTCCCTCACTGTGACAAGTGAAGTTACAGGGAACCAGGCAGAAGACCTTCTCCACAGTGGCCCCCACCCTGGGGAATGCCCTCCCATCAGGTGATAAGGAGATAAGAAAATGCATAACTTTTAGAAGACATCTGATGTCTTCTTATGCTTTTATATGTGCTGGAAGGCACCCAGCCACATGGGTGTGGTATTAATAATAATAAGAAGAGGAAGAAGAGCAAGAAGGAGAAGATCTGTTCCTAGATGCTTTCCAAAAAAGGAGGGGCCATTAGGAACTGATTTGGGAATAATCTCCCTCCTCTTTCGAGCCCCTTGGGAGTATCCAGAGGAAAGTCTCTCTCACCTGCTGCTCTGCCTGCTTCCTCTCCTCTGCCTGACTCAGGAGGAAACCTTCGGCCAGGGCCACCGCCTGGGAACTGGTCTCTGCTCCGCATTCCCTCACCCAGTTCTCCATCTCCAGAGGAAGGACAGCCAGGAACTGCTCCAAGATCACCAGGTCCAACATCTGAGCTTTCGTGTGCCTTTCTGGCTTCAGCCATTGACGGCAAAGGTGGTAGAGTTGGTTGCAAACCTCTCGGGGTCCTTTGGCCTCCTGGTAGCAGAACTGCCTGAGCTGCTGGCTCTGCACCTCTGAGCAAGGGGTGTCCTCCTCACCCAGGATCTTCTGCATGGAGTTTTCCCAGAATCCCCCACTGCTCCCCGTTTCCATGGCATGGCCTCTTCCTGCTTCAGGGCCAGCTGAGTCTTGCTCATCCATCTCTGTTCTCAGGACACCTCCAGGAGATCGGAAGGAGCCCCTTGGTCCTCTGCCAAGTTCTAGTGCAAGGTGCAGCAAATCCTACGAATCAAACACATTCTTCTATTGTAAGATCAAAGCACAGCCAAGAGAAGAAGAATGTTCCCTGAGGAAGCGTGGGGAGAGGAGGAGGAGGAGGAAGTCATAACTGTGAGTGACAAGTGAGTGTAATCTGGAGCCAGGGCAATAGTGGGGGTCCCTCCCCACCCCACTTCATAGTCCAGAGCTTCGCCCCAACCCAACCATCTCTGCTTGGGTGGCTTGGTGAGCAGCAGGGCCCAGGTCTAGCTCCAGCCACCGTCCCTTGGGGACTTCCTGCTCTGGATCCGAGGGGACGGTGGCAAGGCCCTCTGGGTGGAACTGCCCTGGAAGACGCCTCAGAAACTGGACTTTCAGTCAAAAAAAGAATTAGGGAGGGGAAATGGCCGACATACAGAGATTTATGAATCGGGAGAGAAGGGAAGCTAAAGGGTTTGCAAGGAGGACGGTTTGTAAGCAGAGGTATTAGTGTCCTTCTCCTATATGGTATTTCCCTCTTAATATCCTTCTCCCTCACAATTATGTCCCTCTTAATATACTTCTCCCTCACAATTATGTCCCTCTTAATATACTTCTCCCTCACAATAATGTCCCTCTTAATATACTTCTCCCTCACAATAATGCCCCTCCTAATATACTTCTCCCTCACAATTATGTCCCACTTAATATACTTCTCCCTCATAATAATGTCCCTCTTAATATACTGCTCCCTCATAATAATGTCCCTCCTAATATCCTTCTCCCTCACAATAATGTCCCTCTTAATATACTTCTCCCTCATGTCCCTCTTAATATCCTTCTCCCTCATAATAATGTCCCTCTTAATATACTTCTCCCTCATAATAATGTCCCTCTTAATATACTTCTCCCTCATGTCCCTCTTAATAATCTCCCTCTTAATATACTTCTCCCTCACAATAATGTCCCTCTTAATATACTTCTCCCTCATAATAATGTCCCTCTTAATATACTTCTCCCTCATGTCCCTCTTAATATACTGCTCCCTCATAATAATGTCCCTCTTAATATACTTCTCCCTCATAATAATGTCCCTCTTAATATACTTCTCCCTCACAATTATGTCCCTCTTAATATACTTCTCCCTCACAATAATGTCCCTCTTAATATACTTCTCCCTCATAATAATGTCCCTCTTAATATACTGCTCCCTCATGTCCCTCTTAATATACTTCTCCCTCATAATAATGACCCTCTTAATATACTTCTCCCTCATAATAATGTCCCTCCTAATATACTTCTCCCTCATAATAATGTCCTTCGTAATATACTTCTCCCTCATAATAATGTCCCTCTTAATATACTTCTCCCTCATGTCCCTCTTAATATACTTCTCCCTCATAATAATGTCCCTCTTAATATACTGCTCCCTCATGTCCCTCTTAATATACTTCTCCCTCATAATAATGACCCTCTTAATATACTTCTCCCTCATAATAATGTCCCTCCTAATATACTTCTCCCTCATAATAATGTCCTTCGTAATATACTTCTCCCTCATAATAATGTCCCTCTTAATATACTTCTCCCTCATGTCCCTCCTAATATACTTCTCCCTCATAATAATGTCCCTCTTAATATACTTCTCCCTCATAATAATGTCCCTCTTAATATCCTTCTCCCTCACAATTATGTCCCTCTTAATATACTTCTCCCTCACAATAATGTCCCTCTTAATATACTTCTCCCTCATAATAATGTCCCTCTTAATATACTGCTCCCTCATGTCCCTCTTAATATACTTATCCCTCATAATAATGACCCTCTTAATATACTTCTCCCTCATAATAATGTCCCTCCTAATATACTTCTCCCTCATAATAATGTCCCTCTTAATATACTTCTCCCTCATAATAATGTCCCTCTTAATATCCTTCTCCCTCACAATTATGTCCCTCTTAATATACTTCTCCCTCACAATAATGTCCCTCTTAATATACTTCTCCCTCATAATAATGACCCTCTTAATATACTTCTCCCTCATAATAATGTCCCTCCTAATATACTTCTCCCTCATAATAATGTCCTTCGTAATATACTTCTCCCTCATAATAATGTCCCTCTTAATATACTTCTTCCTCATAATAATGTCCCTCCTAATATACTTCTCCCTCATAATAATGTCCCTCTTAATATCCTTCTCCCTCACAATTATGTCCCTCTTAATATACTTCTCCCTCATGTCCCTCTTAATATACTGCTCCCTCATGTCCCTCTTAATATACTTCTCCCTCATAATAATGTCCCTCGTAATATACTTCTCCCTCATAATAATGTCCCTCTTAATATACTTCTCCCTCATAATAATGTCCCTCTTAATATCCTTCTCCCTCACAATTATGTCCCTCTTAATATACTTCTCCCTCATGTCCCTCTTAATATACTTCTCCCTCATGTCCCTCTTAATATACTTCTCCCTCATAATAATGTCCCTCTTAATATACTGCTCCCTCATGTCCCTCCTAATATACTTCTCCCTCATAATAATGTCCCTCTTAATATACTTCTTCCTCATAATAATGTCCCTCCTAATATACTTCTCCCTCACAATAATGTCCCTCTTAATATCCTTCTCCCTCACAATTATGTCCCTCTTAATATCCTTCTCCCTCATAATTATGTCCCTCCTAATATACTTCTCCCTCATGTTCCTCTTAATATCCTTCTCCCTCACAATTATGTCCCTCTTAATTTACTTCTCCATCATAATAATGTCCCTCTTAATATACTTCTTCCTCATAATAATGTCCCTCCTAATATACTTCTCCCTCATAATAATATCCCTCTTAATATACTTCTTCCTCATAATAATGTCCCTCTTAATATACTTCTTCCTCATGTCCCTCTTATATCCTTCTCCCTCATAATTATGTCCCTCCTAATATACTTCTCCCTCATGTCCCTCTTAATATCCTTCTCCCTCATAATTATGTCCCTCCTAATATACTTCTCCCTCATGTCCCTCTTAATATCCTTCTCCCTCATAATTATGTCCCTCTTAATATACTTCTCCCTCATGTCCCTCTTAATATACTTCTCCCTCATAGTAATGTCCCTCTTAATATCCTTCTCCCTCATAATTATGTCCCTCTTAATATCCTTCTCCCTCATAATAATCTCCCTCTTAATATCCTTCTCCCTCAGAATAATGTCCCTCTTAATATCCTTCTCCCTCATAATAATGTCCCTCTTAATATCCTTCTCCCTCATAATAATGTCCCTCTTAATATACTTCTCCCTCATGTCCCTCTTAATATACTTCTCCCTCATAATAATGTCCCTCTTAATATCCTTCTCCCTCATGTCCCTCTTAATATACTTCTCCCTCACAATTATGTCCCTCCGAATGTCCTTCTCCCTCATGTCCCTCTTAATATACTTCTCCCTCATGTCCCTCTTAATATACTTCTCCCTCATAATAATGTCCCTCTTAATATCCTTCTCCCTCAGAATAATGTCCCTCTTAATATCCTTCTCCCTCATAATAATGTCCCTCTTAATATACTTCTCCCTCAGAATAATGTCCCTCTTAATATCCTTCTCCCTCATAATAATGTCCCTCTTAATATCCTTCTCCTTCACAATAATGTCCCTCTTAATATACTTCTCCCTCACAATAATGTCCCTCTTAATATCCTTCTCCCTCAGAATAATGTCCCTCTTAATATCCTTCTCCCTCATAATAATGTCCCTCTTAATATACTTCTCCCTCATAATAATGTCCCTCTTAATATCCTTCTCCCTCATAATAATCTCCCTCCTAATATACTTCTCCCTCATAATGTCCCTCTTAATATACTTCTCCCTCATAATAATGTCCCTCCTAATATACTTCTCCCTCATAATAATGTCCCTCCTAATATACTTCTCCCTCACAATTATGTCCCTCTTAATATACTTCTCCCCCATAATAATGTCCCTCCTAATATACTTCTCCCTCATAATAATGTTCCTCTTAATATACTTCTCCCCCATAATAATGTCCCTCCTAATATACTTCTCCCTCATAATAATGTCCCTCCTAATATACTTCTCCCTCACAATAATGTCCCTCTTAATATACTTCTCCCTCATAATAATGTCCCTCCTAATATACTTCTCCCTCATAATAATGTCCCTCCTAATATACTTCTCCCTCATAATAATGTCCCTCTTAATATACTTCTCCCTCATAATAATGTCCCTCCTAATATACTTCTCCCTCACAATAATGTCCCTCCTAATATACTTCTCCCTCACAATAATGTCCCTCTTAATATACTTCTCCCTCATAATAATGTCCCTCTTAATATCCTTCTCCCTCACAATAATGTCCCTCCTAATATACTTCTCCCTCATAATAATGTCCCTCTTAATATACTTCTCCCTCATAATAATGTCCCTCCTAATATACTTCTCCCTCATAATAATGTCCCTCTTAATATACTTCTCCCTCATAATAATGTCCCTCCTAATATACTTCTCCCTCATAATAATGTCCCTCCTAATATACTTCTCCCTCATAATAATGTCCCTCTTAATATACTTCTCCCTCATAATTATGTCCCTCTTAATATACTTCTCCCTCATAATAATGTCCCTCTTAATATCCTTCTCCCTCATAATAATGTCCCTCTTAATGTCCTTCTCCCTCATGTCCCTCTTAATATACTTCTCCCTCATAATAATGTTCCTCTTAATATCCTTCTCCCTCATAATAATGTCCCTCTTAATATACTTCTCCCTCACAATACTGTCCCTCTTAATATACTTCTCCTCATGTCCTCTTAATATACTCTCCTCATGTCCTCTTAATATCCTTCTCCCTCATAATAATGTCCCTCTTAATATACTTCTCCATCACAATAATGTCCATCTTAATATACTTCTCCCTCATAATAATGTCCCTCTTAATATCCTTCTCCCTCATAATAATGTCCCTCTTAATATCCTTCTCCCTCACAATAATGTCCCTCCGAATGTCCTTCTCCCTCTTGTCCCTCTTAATATCCTTCTCCCTCACAATAATGTCCCTCTTAATATACTTCTCCCTCACAATAATGTCCCTCCGAATGTCCTTCTCCCTCTTGTCCCTCTTAATATCCTTCTCCCTCAGAATAATGTCCCTCTTAATATACTTCTCCCTCATAAAAATGTCCCTCTTAATATACTTCTCCCTCATGTCCCTCTTAATATCCTTCTCCCTCATAATAATCTCCCTCTTAATATACTTCTCCCTCATAATAATGTCCCTCTTAATATACTTCTCCCTCATAATAATGTCCCTCTTAATATACTTCTCCCTCTTAATATCCTTCTCCCTCATAATAATGTCCTCCTGATATCCTTCTCCCTCAGAATAATGTCCCTCTTAATATACTTCTCCCTCATAATTATGTCCCTCTTAATATCCTTCTCCCTCATAATTATGTCCCTCTTAATGTCCTTCTCCCTCATAATTATGTCCCTCTTAATATACTTCTCCCTCATAATAATGTCCCTCTTAATATACTTCTCCCTCATAATAATGTCCCTCTTAATATCCTTCTCCCTCAGAATAATGTCCCTCTTAATATCCTTCTCCCTCATAATAATGTCCCTCTTAATATCCTTCTCCCTCACAATAATGTCCCTCTTAATATACTTCTCCCTCACAATAATGTCCCTCCGAATGTCCTTCTCCCTCTTGTCCCTCTTAATATCCTTCTCCCTCAGAATAATGTCCCTCTTAATATACTTCTCCCTCATAATAATGTCCCTCTTAATGTCCTTCTCCCTCATAATTATATCCCTCTTAATATACTTCTCCCTCATGTCCCTCTTAATATCCTTCTCCCTCATAATAATCTCCCTCTTAATATCCTTCTCCCTCATAATAATGTCCCTCTTAATATACTTCTCCCTCATAATAATCTCCCTCCTAATATACTTCTCCCTCACAATTATGTCCCTCTTAATATCCTTCTCCCTCATAATAATGTCCTCCTGATATCCTTCTCCCTCAGAATAATGTCCCTCTTAATATACTTCTCCCTCATAATTATGTCCCTCTTAATATCCTTCTCCCTCATAATTATGTCCCTCTTAATGTCCTTCTCCCTCATAATTATATCCCTCTTAATATACTTCTCCCTCATAATAATGTCCCTCTTAATATACTTCTCCCTCATAATAATGTCCCTCTTAATATCCTTCTCCCTCAGAATAATGTCCCTCTTAATATACTTCTCCCTCATAATAATGTCCCTCTTAATATACTTCTCCCTCATAATAATGTCCCTCTTAATAGCCTTCTCCCTCATAATAATCTCCCTCTTAATATACTTCTCCCTCATAATTATGTCCCTCTTAATATCCTTCTCCCTCATAATTATGTCCCTCTTAATATACTTCTCCCTCACAATTATGTCCCTCCGAATGTCCTTCTCCCTCATGTCCCTCTTAATGTCCTTCTCCCTCATAATTATATCCCTCTTAATATACTTCTCCCTCAGAATAATCTCCCTCTTAATATGCTTCTCCCTCATAATAATGTCCCTCTTAATATACTTCTCCCTCAGAATAATCTCCCTCCTAATATCCTTCTCCCTCAGAATAATGTCCCTCTTAATATACTTCTCCCTCCTAATATACTTCTCCCTCATAATAATGTCCCTCTTAATATACTTCTCCCTCAGAATAATGTCCCTCTTAATATACTTCTCCCTCAAAATAATGTCCCTCTTAATATACTTCTCACTCACTATCATGTCCCTCTTAATATGGTTCTCCCTCAGAATAATCTCCTCCTAATATCCTTCTCCTCATAATAATGTCCTCTTAATATCCTTCTCCTCACAATAATGTCCCTCTTAATATACTTCTCCCTCACAATAATGTCCCTCTTAATATACTTCTCCCTCATAATAATGTCCCTCTTAATATCCTTCTCCCTCACAATAATGTCCCTCTTAATATACTTCTCCCTCACAATTATGTCCCTCCTAATATCCTTCTCCCTCATAATAATGTCTCTCATAATATCCCCTTCTCCCTCATAATAATCTCCCTCCTAATATCCTTCTCCCTCACAATTATGTCCCTCTTAATATCCTTCTCCCTCATAATAATCTCCCTCTTAATATCCTTCTCCCTCATAATAATCTCCCTCTTAATATCCTTCTCCCTCAGAATAATCTCCCTCCTAATATCCTTCTCCCTCATAATAATGTCCCTCTTAATATACTTCTCCCTCAGAATAATCTCCCTCTTAATATACTTCTCCCTCACAATAATGTCCCTCTTAATATACTTCTCCCTCACAATAATGTCCCTCTTAATATCCTTCTCCCTCACAGTAATGTCCCTCCTAATATCCTTCTCCCTCACAATAATGTCCCTCTTAATATACTTCTCCCTCACAATAATGTCCCTCTTAATATACTTCTCCCTCATAATAATGTCCCTCTTAATATACTTCTCCCTCACAATCATGTCCCTCTTAATATACTTCTCCCTCATAATAATGTCCCTCTTAATATACTTCTCCCTCAGAATAATCTCCCTCCTAATATCCTTCTCCCTCATAATAATGTCCCTCTTAATATCCTTCTCCCTCATAATAATCTCCCTCTTAATATCCTTCTCCCTCATAATAATCTCCCTCCTAATATACTTCTCCCTCATAATAATCTCCCTCCTAATATACTTCTCCCTCATAATAATCTCCCTCCTAATATACTTCTCCCTCATAATAATCTCCCTCCTAATATCCTTCTCCCTCATAATAATCTCCCTCTTAATATCCTTCTCCCTCCTAATATACTTCTCCCTCATAATAATCTCCCTCCTAATATACTTCTCCCTCATAATAATCTCCCTCTTAATATACTTCTCCCTCACAATAATGTCCCTCTTAATATCCTTCTCCCTCACAATAATGTCCCTCTTAATATCCTTCTCCCTCATAATAATCTCCCTCCTAATATACTTCTCCCTCATAATAATCTCCCTCTTAATATACTTCTCCCTCACAATAATGTCCCTCTTAATATCCTTCTCCCTCATAATAATCTCCCTCCTAATATACTTCTCCCTCATAATAATCTCCCTCTTAATATCCTTCTCCCTCATAATAATCTCCCTCCTAATATACTTCTCCCTCATAATAATCTCCCTCCTAATATACTTCTCCCTCATAATAATCTCCCTCTTAATATACTTCTCCCTCATAATAATCTCCCTCATAATATCCTTCTCCCTCATAATCATCTCCCTCCTAATATACTTCTCCCTCATAATAATGTCCTCCTAATAAACTTCTCCTCATAATAATCTCCTCCTAATATACTTCTCCCTCATAATAATGTCCCTCTTAATATCCTTCTCCCTCAAAATAATCTCCCTCATAATATACTTCTCCTCATAATAATGTCCTCTTAATATACTTCTCCTCACAATAATGTCCTCTTAATATCCTTCTCCTCACAATAATGTCCCTCTTAATATCCTTCTCCTCACATAATGTCCCTCTTAATATCCTTCTCCTCATAATAATCTCCTCCTAATATACTTCTCCTCATAATAATCTCCTCTTAATATACTTCTCCTCACATAATGTCCCTCTTAATATCCTTCTCCTCATAATGTCCCTCCTAATATACTTCTCTCATAATAATCTCCTCCTAATATACTTCTCCTCATAATAATCTCCTCTTAATATCCTTCTCCCTCATAATAATCTCCTCCTAATATACTTCTCCTCATAATAATCTCCTCCTAATATACTTCTCCCTCATAATAATCTCCTCTTAATATACTTCTCCTCATAATAATCTCCTCTAATATCCTTCTCCTCATAATAATCTCCTCCTAATATACTTCTCCTCATAATAATCTCCTCTAATATACTTCTCCTCATAATAATCTCCTCTTAATATACTTCTCCCTCATAATAATCTCCCTCTTAATATACTTCTCCCTCATAATAATGTCCCTCTTAATATCCTTCTCCCTCATAATAATCTCCCTCTTAATATACTTCTCCCTCACAATAATGTCCCTCTTAATATCCTTCTCCCTCATAATAATGTCCTCCTGATATCCTTCTCCCTCATAATAATCTCCCTCTTAATATCCTTCTCCCTCATAATAATGTCCCTCTTAATATCCTTCTCCCTCATAATAATGTCCCTCTTAATATACTTCTCCCTCATAATAATCTCCCTCTTAATATCCTTCTCCCTCATAATAATCTCCCTCTTAATATCCTTCTCCCTCATAATAATCTCCCTCTTAATATCCTTCTCCCTCATAATAATGTCCCTCTTAATATCCTTCTCCCTCACAATAATGTCCCTCTTAATATCCTTCTCCCTCATAATAATGTCCCTCTTAATATCCTTCTCCCTCACAATAATGTCCCTCTTAATATACTTCTCCCTCATAATAATCTCCCTCTTAATATCCTTCTCCCTCATAATAATGTCCCTCTTAATATCCTTCTCCCTCATAATAATGTCCCTCTTAATATCCTTCTCCCTCACAATAATCTCCCTCTTAATATCCTTCTCCCTCAGAATAATGTCCCTCTTAATATCCTTCTCCCTCACAATAATGTCCCTCCTAATATCCTTCTCCCTCATAATAATCTCCCTCTTAATATCCTTCTCCCTCACAATAATGTCCCTCCCAATGTCCTTCTCCCTCCTCACTGTCTTCCAGTCCCACCTCCCTGGCCAGGGCCTGAGGTCCCTCTGGCTCCCTCCCGGACCCCCCAGCCTCTCTTCCCTCCGGGTCCCGCCTCCCGGGGCAGGGAGTTCCCCAGGCTTCCCCCGAGAGGAGACCCACCAGAGCCCGGCAGGCGAAGGCGAGGCCGGAAGGGACCTCAGAGGGGAGGAGGAGGAGGAGGAGGAGCGGCCTGCCTTCCTTTCCTGTCCTCTCTAGGAAGCCAGCTCGGCGCCTCTTAACCCTTGGCGAGCCGGGCGCGCCCCGCTCATCCTTCTCTCTCCCGGCGGAGGAGCCCGGGGCGTCAAGCGGGCGGAGAGGAGGAGGCAGGGAAGAAGCAGGACCCAGAACCCGGGACTGGGCGCGTGTGCGTGGGAAGGGGGAACCCGTGTCCGGGAGGAGGAGCCCGTCTCTCTGCCTGGGGCTGCGAAGGGGCGTCTGGGCGGGGGAGAGAGGGGTCTTGGGGGGGCCAGATGGGGGACCCGGGGGTGTCTCTTCTCCGGGGGGGGGGCGAGTCCCGCCTGGCTCTCTTGGGGGCCCCTGGGGGGGCTGCGGGGCAGAGAGCCCTGTCCCAGCAAGAGGGGGTCCCGGGGGCTGAAGGGGCAGCTGGAGGGGAGACATTGCCAGACATGGCTGGGGGGCCATTCTGTGTTCTCCCATCTGCTGCTTCGTGTCTGTATTTCAGCCATAAATATCCCATGTTCTTCTCTGTTAGTGAAGTCGCCTTTGAAGCAACACAGGAGCAGCCAAGGGGGTTTTCCTAGGAAGCCTTTTATTCCCCTCTGGTGACATTCTTATAGGTTTGCAGGTGCCAAACACCCCAAAATTCAGGCGCATCTTTGGGGGCTTCTACGCAATGCCCTCTAGTCTAGTTGCACCAGGAAGTGATCTGACCACAGCACTTCTTATGTTTTAGCATATGTTGTTTTGTGTCTATATTTCAGCAATAAATATCAAATGTTCCATGAGCATATAAGCCATGAACAACTAAATAAATAAGAGTCCGTTGTATATCAAGCAGCAGGAAAGGACCACACAAAAAGCAATTACGTTACTCCACAGATTAAGTTTTATTCAAACCCAGAAGAGAAAAAGCAGCACTAAGTGCAGTGTCTCAAAGATGCAGTGTAACATCTTTACCTTAGAAAAAGGAATTAAACGTAACAGTCGGCAAAGAGGCAGTTAAATGGAATTTTTCAGTGGCAAGGGGGACAAGGAAGCCCATCACAGCAGGCCTGTGTTGTTAAAAATCAGGAGAAGAGATTTCTGTACATCTCAAGAGCAACAAGAATGTGTTCCTTCCCACCCTTTGCTTGAGAAGTAAAACTCTGCAAGGGTTTGGCTCCAGGGTCCCTTGAGAGAGAGTTGGTGCCGACTCTGAGCAAAGAGGAAGGAAAAGGGGGTCCTGCAAGGAGAGGATGAGGGGAAGACCCCCTTTTCTAGGGGTGGGGGAGAGGGATTGGGCTCCCAGGTCAAGAGAGCACCTTGTATCCTGGCACTGAAAAGACACCCTCCCGACACACACTTTGTGGCATCTCCTTTCGGCAAAGGGTCAAAACATAGTTCCAACTTGAAAACCACCTCCAGGACCAGGCACCCTCAATGGGCTTTGCACTACAACTCCCAACCGGGCCTGCCAGCAGAAGGCAGGGGGGATGGAAACAGCCGCCCAAAAGGTCCAGCCAGCTCCAGAGGCGACCCAAGGCTGCTCTCCAACGGGGCGCTGCTCCAGGCATCTGAGTTGCCCAGTTCAAGGGAGCTGGCGGGACTAAGAACCGGGGTTCCTGAATTGCAGGGGTTGGACTAGATGAGCCTGGAGTGTCCTCTTCCAGGATTCCTCTTCTGGCTGCCAATGCCACGGCTGGAAATTTGCCCTGAAGCTGCTTCACAAGGAGCTCTATTCCCCCCTTAAACTACGTCTTAAACTACCCTTTGACAGGTGTGTGTGCAGGAGCCAGGCCTGTGACCAATAGGACTCTGCAGGACTGGGGCCTTCCTAAGTTTGTTCTGGAGAGGCAAGGTGCGGCCTCACAGGTGAGACCACTTGGTAACTCACTGCACCTGGTGGCAAGAGCCGGGAAGGGATAGAAGGTCAGCATTTTCCCTTCGGCTCTTTGCCACAGCAACACGTTCCCTGCCTTGCTGCATTTGGTTCCTTGACTCCTTGCTTCTTGATCCTCGGACCCTTGGCTTCCTGATTCCTGGACTCCCGTTCCTGCTCCCACCCTGCCATCTTGCCCCCGGTCCCAACGTCCCCAGCCGGGACTTGATCGCCCATGAACTGGACTGTGACACTTGGACTGGCAAGCATCTCCAATCTCCTTGCTCGACACTCCCAACCGAAAATGCATTAGATTCTGCTTCCTCCATGTGCCCAATTCTTAAATAGGCTTTATTTTAAAATTAGCGGGGGGGAGTTAGAGATGGCTTAGTCTTCCAAACAACCCTTTATCCATTATAATAATAACAACAATAATAAATTATTTATACCCTGCCCATCTGGCTGGGCTTCCCCAGACACTCTGGGCGGCTTCCAACAAAATATTAAAATAACAGTAATGCATCTAACATTAAAAGCTTCCCTAAACAGGACTGCCTTCAGATGTCTTCTAAAAGTCTGGTAGTAGTTGTTCTCTTTGACATCTGGTGGGAGGGCGTTCCACAGGGCAGGTGCCACTACCGAGAAGGCCCTCTGCCTGGTTCCCTGTAACTTGGCTTCTTGCAGTGGGGGAACCTCCAGAGGGAACCTCGGTGCTGGACTTCAGCGTCCAGGTAGAATGATGGAGGTGGAGATGCTCCTTCATTAGTTAGTAGACAAGCTTCCCAGTGCAAGGAGAGGAAAGCAGACCTCTGAGCCCAGCCTGGCCCCCCCCCCAAATTCTGGCCGCATGCCTTGAGGCCCCAAGATGGGTAGAGGAATGCCTGGAGGGCAGCTCCTGGCTGGGACTTTGATTGGGGCAGGGTGGGAGCACAGGGAGAGGGAGACAGGAAGACCGGCCAGGGGGTGGCACTGGGGGGATTTATTCACATTGGTTTTCTACCCAAAAGCCACCCCCCCGGCTGTGAGGAGGGTGGTGCCTCCTCCATGAATTCCTCTTCCACTCCCAGCTACTCCGCTCAAACCTTTGCTAAAATCCTGCTCTCCTCCCTCCTCTCCGTCTCAGAGGCTGGGCTTTCTGTCTCATCTCAAGAACCGCCAAAGCGCCCGCAGTTGCCTCTTATCTTCCACCCAAACCGTCCACATCAATCCTAAGCGTCTCCTGTTCTGATTTCCATTTTTTGTCTTCCAGCTTTTAAAGACTTCTCCTCCCTTCCTTTCATGGAGACATCTAGTGCTTCTGTATTCTTTGTCAGTGTCTCTACTTTAGTGGTCAAATTTGTCACCATTTCACTATTTCTATCAATTCGGGCTAATAGCTTCTCCAAATTGTCCTTCATCTCTTCAGTCAGGTCTTTTTTAAGTCAGCAAAAGTTCCACGAATTCAGATGGGGACCTGTCTCCTGGGTCTTGCTCTGAAGATCTTCTACTCAGGCCCGGTGTTAACTGTTTTTCAACTGCCATAGTCAAAATCTCACTCTCCCTTTTCCAGCAGCACCTTATCAGTTTGTCAAGGCCACAAAATAACTCTTTCCTAAGAGATCCTGTTTCCTGCATTTTTCCAGCCCTCCCTCTTCCTTCCAGCCTGATACCCAACACACATAAGCTGTTTAACAGAAAATCCAATTTCTCAAATTAAGATTCAAATTAAACAAATAAACCAAATAATTACTTTAAGAGATGAACCATAAAACAGAAAAAAGAATGTGTCCAAGAGGACATAGCAATTTAGATGTCCAAATAAGAGTGGTTGTCTTGCAGGAATCCAATTCTCTTTAAGTGGCTCAGAGTAGAAGAAATATTTTCCTTCAAAAAGAAACAAACTTGTCCAAACCTGTCCTATTTTGGCTTTTTCAGTGAGCTCTAAGTCCTTTTAAGAGCTCCAATTATTTTTTAAAGAACTTTAAAAGCCAGTGTGGTGTAGTGGTTAAGAGCGGAAGACTCATAATATGGTGAACCGGGTCCCCGTCTCCGCTCCTCCACCTGCAGCTGCTGGGTGACCTTGGGCTAGTCACACTTCTCTGAAGTCTCTCAGTCTCACTCACCTCACAGAGTGTTTGTTGGAGAGGAAGGGAAAGGAGATTGTGAGCCGCTTTGAGACTCCTTAGGGGAGTGATAAAGCGGGATATCAAATCCAAACTCTTCTCTTCTCTTCTTCTTTAAAAATGAGACCAGAGTTTCATAAATCCCTCCGATCACACTCTTGGCACTAAAATGGTTTCTACCCTGTGTGAATTCTCTGATGGGAAATGAGATTGTTGCTTTGACTGAAGCTCTTTCCACATTGCAAGCACTGATAGGGTTTCTCCCCTGTATGGATTTTTTGATGGGCTGTGAGACTTTCTTTCCTGGTGAAGCTCTTTCCACATTCCAGGCACTGAAAGGGGTTTTCTCCTGTATGAATTCTTTGATGGGAAGTGAAACTTATTTTCCAGGTGAAGCTCTTTCCACATTCCAAGCACTTAAAGGGTTTCTCCCCTGTATGAATCCTTTGATGGGAAGTGAGTTTGGCACTGTTAATGAATCCCTTTCCACATTCCACACACTTGTATGGTTTCTCCCCTGTATGGATTTTTTTATGGGAAGCAAAACTCTGTTTCCAGCTGAAGCTCTTTCCACACTCCAAGCACTGATAGGGTTTCCCCCTTGTATGAATTCTTCGATGAGAATTGCAATCTGAGCAATTCCTGAAGCTCTTTCCACACTCCAAGCACTGATATGGTTTCTCCCCTGTATGAATTCTTTGATGGGAAGTGAAACACTTTTTCCAAGTGAAGCTCTTTCCACACTCCAAGCACTGATATGGCTTTTCCCCTGTATGAATTCTTTGATGGGAAGTGAAACTGGAGCTTTCACTGAAGCTCTTTCCACATTCCAAGCAATGATAAGGTTTCTCCCCTGTATGAATTCTTTGATGGGTAGTGAAACTGTCCTTTCGAATGAAACTCTTTCCACATTCCGCACACTGATAAGGTTTCTCCCCTGTATGAAGTCTACGATGAGAAGTGAGATGGTAGCTGTGACTGAAGCTCTTTCCACATTCCGCGCACTGATAAGGTTTCTCCCCTGTATGAATTCTTTGATGGACAGTGAAACTTTCTTTCCTGGTGAAGCTCTTTCCACATTCCAAGCACTGATAGGGTTTCTCCCCTGTATGGATTTTTTGATGGGAAGTGAAATTGTCCTTTCGACTGAAGCTCTTCTCACATTCCAAGCATTGATAGGGTTTTTCTCCTGTATGAATTCTTTTATGGGAAATGAAACTTATTTTCCAGGTGAAGCTCTTTCCACATTCCAAACACTGATAGGGTTTCTCCCCTGAATGAATTCTTTGGTGGCAAGTGAAACTGTCCTTTCGACTGAAGCTCTTTCCACATTCTAAGCATTGATAGGGTTTCTCCCCTGTATGAATTCTTTGATGGGCAATGAGATGGGAGCACTGACTGAAGCTCTTTCCACATTCCAAGCACTGATAAGGTTTCTCCCCTGTATGAATTCTTTGATGGGAAGTGAAACTTTCTTTCCTGGTGAAGCTCTTTCCACATTCCAAGCAGTGGTAGTGTTTCTTCTCAAGGGGATTTCTTTGATGGGAAGTGGAATGGGAGCTCTGCCTGAAGCCCTCTCCACAGTCTGAATCCTGATATGGATCCTCCACTGTGTGGATTTTGTTGTGGTCTCCCTTGTTCTTCATTTCCAATTCATCACCACCTGAAACAAACAGGAATTATATTAGAGCCTTGGGAAGAAATGCAGTCCTAAATTATGCAGCAATCCTCATTAATGTTTTGACAGGGAAAAACTGAAAGGAGTTAGATGTTATAATGTTCCTTTGTTCTGTAAAAATGTGTAGTTTCATAAACAAATCAAGTTGAATATTGGATGTTTTCTCTCTTAAGTTTTTAAAAGATAACTGTACAGCTTGACTTGGTAACATCATTTTGTTCAAACTTAAATATGGACCTGTACTATATTCATAAATAAAGTGTGCTTTTATCATTATTTAAATGGTAGCCAATGAAGGAAAGTTCCCTGTTCAAAATTAAAATATATACTATATATTCTAAAAAATTATTATTTATAACCCACCCATCTGGTTGGGTTTTCCGAGTCACTCTGGGTGGGTTCCAACAAAATATTAAAATATAATAGGCCTTCACATATTAAAAGCTTCCCTAAACAGGGCTGCCTTCAGATGTCGTCTAAAAGTCTGGTAGTTGTTCTCTTTGACATCTGGTGGGAGGGCATTCCACAGGGCGGGTGCCACCACCGAGAAGGCCCTCTGCCTGGTTCCCTGTAACCTCACTTCTTGCAGGGAGGGAACTGCCAGAAGACCCTCGGAGCTGGACCTCAGTGTCTGGGTAGAACGATGGAGGTGGAGATGCTCCTTCAGGCATACTGGACCGAGGCCGTTTAGGGCTTTAAAAGTCAGCACCAACACTTTGAATTGTGCTCGGAAACGTACTGGTAGCCAATGTAGGTCTTTCAGGACTAGTGTTATGTGGTCTCAGTGGCCACTCCCAGTCACCAGTCTAGCTGCCGCATTCTGGATTAGTTGGTAGTTTCCAGGTCACCTTCAAAGGAAGCCCCACATAGAGCACATTGCAATAGTCCAAGCGGGAGATAACTAGAACATGCACCACTCTGGCGAGACAGTCTGCGGGCAGATAGGGTCTCATCCTGCGTACGAGATGGAGCTGGTAGACAGCTGCCCTGGACACCAAATTGACCTGTACCTCCATGGACAGCTGCAAATCCAAAATGACTCCCAGGCTGCGCACCTGGTCCTTCAGGGGCACAGTTACCATATTCAGGACCAGGGAGTCCTCCACACCTGCCCACCTCCGGTCCCCAATTTGGATGTTTTCTTAAATTCTCGACATCACAGATTGCAGCAGAAACTTGTCATATCAGCATTAGTATTATTATTCAAGTTTCCTTACTTAAATGTTACATGACATGGAGAAATTACAGGGGACAAGGCAGGGGGCCTTCTTGATAGGGGAACCCACCCTGTGGAACACCCTCCCATCAGATGTCAAGGAAATAACGATGCAACTGTTAGAGGACTTCTGTTTTTTGTTTTTTTTTAAATTTCATCCCTTTAATTTTTAAATTAGATTAGCTCATTGAACACAGATTCAGAGTGAATATTATAATTTGGGAAACCCTCTACTTAGTAGATTTGTTAGATAGTTGGTTTTTTTTTTTAAAAAAATGATATTCATTAAGGTTTCAAAAACAATAGATTACACAGATAAAAAGAAAAGAAACAAAATAAAAAATAAAAAAGAGAAAAAATACAAAATACAGAAAAAAGATAAAATACACTTAAAAACAAATCAATCTTTCCATACCTTACATTTCATTTCCTTGCTTCCCTGACCTCCTTTCACCTCCCTTTTTTGTATTCCAGTTCAATTGGTTAATTCAGCAATTCCTTTCCCTCTTTGTTTTTGTCTTAATCTTTTAACTTAATAAATTATAGCTTTGGATTCTCACCTATTAACAATCCATTTTTACATACACCTTTATAACATTGCTGCTAAAACCACTTAACTTCATTCTGACATCATTCTAACATTCATTAATTTTGCAGTATTTCTGTAAATAGTCTTTAAATTTCTTCCAATCTTCTTCCACCGACTCTTCTCCCTGGTCTCGGATTCTGCCAGTCATTTCCGCCAATTCCATATAGTCCATCACCTTCATCTGCCATTCTTCCAGGGTGGGTAAATCTTCTGTCTTCCAATATTTTGCAATAAGTATTCTTGCTGCATTTGTGGCATACATAAAGAAAGTTCTGTCCTTCTTTGGCACCAATTGGCCGACTATGCCCAGGAGAAAGGCCTCTGGTTTCTTCAAGAAGGTATATTTGAATACCTTTTTCATTTCATTATATATCATCTCCCAGAAAGCCTTAATCCTTGGGCACATCCACCAAAGGTGAAAGAATGTACCTTCAGTTTCTTTACATTTCCAACATTTATTATCGGGCAAATGATAGATTTTTGCAAGGTTGACTGGGGTCATGTACCACCTGTATATCATTTTCATAATATTCTCTCTTAAGGCATTACATGCTGTAAACTTCATACCTGTGGTCCATAACTGTTCCCAGTCAGCCATCATTATGTTATGTCCAACATCTTGTGCCCATTTAATCATAGCAGATTTCACTGTTTCATCCTGAGTATTCCATTTCAACAGCAAGTTATACATCTTTGACAAAATCTTAGTTTTGGGTTCTAACAGTTCTGTTTCTAACTTTGATTTTTCCACCTGGAAGCCAATTTTCTTGTCCAAATTATATGCCTCCATTATCTGATAATAATGAAGCCAATCTCGCACTTTGTTTTTTAGTTTCTCAAAGCTCTGCAGTTTCAATCTATCTCTCTATTGTTCCAGAATTTCCCAATATTTCGGCCATTTGGCCTCCATATTGAGCTTTTTCTGAGCTTTCGCTTCCATCGGTGACAGCCACCTTGGGGTTTTATTTTCCAATAGATCCTTATATCTTATCCAGACATTAAACAATGCTTTCCTGACAATATGATTTTTAAATGCTTTATGTGCTTTGATCTTATCATACCACAAATATGCATGCCATCCAAATACATTATTAAAACCTTCTAAGTCCAAAATGTCTGTGTTTTCAAGAAGCAGCCATTCTTTCAGCCAGCAAAAAGCTGCTGATTCATAATAAAGTTTAAGGTCTGGCAGGGCAAATCCGCCTCTTTCCTTTGCATCCGTTAGTATTTTAAATTTTATTCTGGGCTTCTTGCCCTGCCAGACAAATCTAGAGATATCTCTCTGCCACTTCTTGAAGAAATCCATTTTGTCCAAAATTTGAAACAAAAACAACATTCTAGGCAATACATTCATTTTTATTGCAGCAATACGGCCTAGCAGTGAAAGCTTCAAATTTGACCATATTTCTAAATCTTTTTTCACTTCAGCCCAGCATTTTTCATAATTGTCTTTAAATAGATTCCTATTTTTAGCTGTCATGTTGATCCCCAGGTATTTCACTTTCTTAACCACTGTTAAACCTGTCTCATTCTGAAACCTCTCTCTCTCAATCGCTGTTAAATTTTTCTCTAAGACCTTTGTTTTTAACTTATTCAGCTTAAATCCTGCAACCTGACCAAATTCTTGAATCAGTTCCAAAACCCTTTTAGTACTAGATTCTGGCTCCTGTAGTGTCAATACTAAGTCATCTGCAAATGCTCTCAATTTGTACTGTTTAGCTCCGACTTGTATACCTTTAACCAACTGGTCCCTTCTAATCATATTCAGCAGGACCTCCAGGACCGATATAAAAAGCAATGGGGAGATTGGGCAACCTTGTCGTGTCCCTTTTTCTATCTTGAATTCCTCCGTCACCACATTATTTACAATTAATTTAGCCTTTTGTTCTGAATATATTGCACTTACACCGTTTTCAAAGCCTTGGCCTATCCCCATCCCCTGTAGGTTCTTCTTCATGAAACGCCAAGAAATGTTGTCAAAAGCTTTCTCCGCGTCCACAAATATCAAAACTGCCTTAGTATTTATATTCACTTGTAATTTTTCTAAAATATTGATTATGTTTCTCACATTATCAGATAAATGTCTACCTAGGAGAAAGCCTGCTTGATCTTTATGTATCTCTTCCACTAGCACTCTTTTTAGTCTTTTAGCCAAAATGTCTGCAAGAATTTTATAATCCACATTGAGCAGTGATATGGGGCGGTAGTTCTTAAACTGCGTCTTTTCAGTCTCTGTTTTCGGTACAAGTGTAATATACGCTTCTTTCCACGACTCTGGTGCCCTTTTCCCACCCATTATTTCGTTACAGACTTCTTTTAAAGGTTGTACTAACCATTCTTTTAAAGATCTGTAGTATCTAGAAGTCAGTCCATCTGGTCCTGGAGATTTACCTAGTTGCATATTCTGAATGGCACCTTCTACCTTCTGTTCAGTTATTTTATAGTTCAACATTAATTTATTTTCTTGAGAGATTTTTTGTAATCCATTTGTTTTCAAAAATGGGTCTACGTCAATTTCTTTCTGTGGCCCTTGTGTATATAGTTGTTTAAAGTACCTCTGGAAACAATTTCTAATCTCAGCTGGGTTCTGTATGTTCCTTCCTTCCACTTCTAAATTTGTAACAGTATTTAATTTTTGTCATTTTTTCATTTGCCAAGCCAACAATTTCCCACATTTATTAGCCGACTCAAATGTCTTTTGTCTCATTTGTTTAATTTTCCATTCTATCTCCTGATTCATCATTTTCATGTATTGTACTTGATGTAACTTTATTTCTCTCAAAATCTCTTGCGACTTTGGTTTTGCTCTCAATCTCTTTTCACTTTCCTTTATTTTCTCCAATATTTTATCCTTCTTCTCATTTTGGATTCTCTTCTTTAATGCATTGTGTTGTATCAAGAACCCTCTCATAACAGCTTTGCTTGCGTCCCAGATTACTCTTTTTTCAACATTGGTGTTCATATTTATCTCAAAATAGTCTCTCAAGGTTTTTTGGGCCTTCTTAATCACTTCTTCATCTCTAAATAAGGTATCATTCATCCTCCATCTGAAGGAACCGGTTGGTGTTAGTTTCATTTCCATCTTAACAGCATTATGGTCGGAGCAGGTTTTTGGGCAGATTTCCGCTTTTCTTGTCTTTGGTGCCATTCTTCTAGTTACCCATATTAGGTCAATTCTTGTCCATGCCAGTTTGGCTTCAGAGAAGAAGGTTCCCTCTCTGGCCAAGGGATTTTTTGTTCTCCAAATATCAACTAAGTCCAAGTTGTCTGTCATCTCAAAGAAGGTTTTCAGTAGTCTACCATCCTTAGTGACTACCTGTCTTTGTGCCTTGTCCATATGTGTAGATACCACTCCGTTCATATCGCCCATCAAAATCACATTATAGTCCAAATAGTCCATCAAGGTCTCATGCAACTTTTAAAAGAATTCAGATTTCCCCTCGTTTGGTGCATAAACTCCTACTATTAAGAATTTCTCTCCTTGTATTTGAATTTCAATTGCCACAAATCTTCCTTGGTCATCTTTGAAGATAAATTTCAGTAATAGTCTCTCCTTTGCATAAATCACTACTCCTCTTTTTTTAACTTTATCCGAAGAAATAAATTCCTGGCCCAGTCTTTTATTGATCAATACTTTCCTGTGTAGCCTTGTTACATGTGTTTCCTGTAAACAAATCAAGTCCAATTGTTCCTTTTTTAATAAATGAAACACAGATTTCCTTTTCTGAGGGGAGTTCAGACCATTACAATTCCAGCTTAATAGTTGCAGAGCCATGATGTAGTTACTTTACTTCTCCTCCAACTGCTCCAAGTGCTTGTTCCTGTTCTGTCGGTGGTATCACCTTCTCCAGGCGGTCTCTTAATTCAAAAGGTAGTCTTGGTATGTCTAAAATTCCTCTTTCTAGTATTCTTGGCTCTTCTCCAGCTTCTTTCTGCAGGTCTTCTCCGTGGTCTCTCAAAAATCTTTCTTTGTCGTCCTCTGATCTTATTTTTATCTTTCTTCCTTTGAAGCTAAAAGAAAGGCCTTGGGGGAATTCCCACCTAAAGATGATTTTGTTGCTTCTCAGCAGGGCAACCAGATCTCTATAATTGGACCTAAGGTCCAAAAGATATTTTGGAATGTCCTTAAATATCTCCACTTTTGACTGGTGTATTTCCAAAGTCTTCTGGAAGTGCAGACTCAAGATTTTGTCTCTCTCCTCTTTTGTTCGGAGGGTGATCAAACAGTCTCTCACCCTGTTCTTCTTCCCTCCTCTTCCAAGCCTGAAAGCACTCACTACCTTAAAGTTATCCTTCTCCAAATCTGGGTTCCAAAAGTCTGCAAATTCCTGCGTAAGAAAGTCAGTCAAGTTATCTTTCTCAAGTTCAGGTACGGCCCTGATCCTCAAATTCGTTTGCTTCTCCTTCAATTCAATCATAGACAATATTGACCTGTGGTCTTCAAGTTGCTTGTGTATCGGTGGTATCTTCTCTTCTACAGCAACTGCTATTTCCTTTGCTTCTTCAGCTGTCTTTCGGGTCAAAGTAGATTCCTGTAGCAATTTCTCAATAGTTTCTGTGTTAGTATTTACCTTCTGTCCCAAATTGTTAATGCTTGTGGTATTTTGATCAATTTTAACTAATGCTTCAGCTACTTGTTTACTTAGTTTTTCCAGAGATTCATTAATTTTACCTAGTGCCTGAGCTAAAACATCTTCGGATGCCATTCCTTTGGGTTTAGATTGTACCAATGCAGCCCCTGTTGGTAAGCCAGAAGGGCCAGATGTTGATGCTCTTCACTGCAGCCCAACGTCTGTGCGAAACAATCTGCCAGACCTCGTTGTTTTTTCCTGAAGCAAATCTATTTTCTCTTTTCCATTTGCCATAACAGTCTAGATAAGGCCCAAGGTCAGTCCCACGATCAGAGTTTGTTATGAAGTGGAAAATTCCCCTGGCCCAGTTGTTATTGTAACAATCTCAAACTTCCTCTAGGGGGACACAGTAACAGGCAGCAGTTGTTACCTTAAAATAAATAACCTTTTTTCTTTTAATCCCCCAGTTCACAAAATAGACGACAGTTTCAATTTCAGTTATTTTCCAGTTACTTTGAAACCAGGAGAAGCCAGCCAAAAATATTGTATCTCACTTGTATCACACTTGCAGAGTTAGCTGTCAAAAAGTACTTTCACCAACAGCGCATTTCACAGTACGGCATTCTTATTGTTCATTGGCAGCCCGTTCCCAGGTTTTAAGCAGTTGATTTTAGCTTCCTTTTCTCTCTTTTTACAGGAAAATACAGTTCAGATATTTCCCCCCTCCTCTCCTGCAATCAAGGGGGGAAATTGCTTGTTTTTGATGATAGAATTATAGTCCTTTTCAAGCGTCTTTCAAGGTTTTAGCTTACAAGTTCATTGCTTTACTCTATTTACAAAGAACGGAAGGCAGACTTCCTGTTTATGCCTCTCCGCTTCGGTATGCAATTACTTCTTTTTTTCTCCTTTATTTCCCAAATTAACCTACTCACAGATCGTTGTTTTGTAGCCAAATTGTCACAGGAAAAAGGTAGCGCTCTCCGGCAACGGCTGTGCGGCTTCGCTCCACGGAAGAAGCAGTTGACTCACAGCACTGCGCCGCTTCCCCGCTTCACTCCGGAACCCGTAATCGGGCTCCTTTGGAAATTGGGGGGGCGCAAAAGGTGCCCGCCGAGTCCCACGGTCACAGGCTTCACCCGCCTGTGATTTTTGAAGGGTCCCCGCTTCGCCGTAGCGGTACAGACCCGATTCCCGCAGAGCCGGTCCCCTCCGAGTCAGAGGGAATCCACCATTACCGATGGCGCCACCCCGGAAGTCCCCTGTTAGAGGACTTCTGAAGGCACCTCAGTATTGGGAAGTTTTTAATGTTTGATGTTTTATTATGCTTTTATATTTGTTGGAAGTTGCTCAGAGTGGCTGGGGCAATCCAATCAGATGGGAAGGACAAAAATAATAAAATAATCATTATTGTTACTACAGGGTTCACAGTCAGAGGTTCAAAAGCCCTGGCTCTGTTTTGAGATGGAGTTTGTTTGGTTCAGTCGTGGAATCTGTGCCATCTCCAATGTCAAGCGACTCTTTGGTCAACCAGAGAGAGACAGAAGCAAGAACAAAAGCAGGAAACGTGACTGAAGCTACTTCAACACCTCAAATCACTATGAATCCTACATTTAAGAAGGCCTGGGCAGTTCAGACAGCCTGATCATGGTTTTAAACGGCAGAACTGGAGGAAGAATATTCACAGGGAAAACAATCAATAGCCATCCATCCAAGGTTTGCTGTGGGAGTGTTAACATCCCAGGTGCTGTGGGTGGCGCTGTTGAGCCCCATCGAAATATCAGAGGTTCATCATCTAGAGAGATGTCTTGAATTACAAAACAGATAGGATGATCCAATAGGGAGCCTTACCGAGAGAGTCCAAGATCCCACGATTCTCCTCCATGACTTCCTTATGGAGAGCTCTCTGGTCAGGATCCAGCAACGCCCACTCCTCGTCTGTGAAATGGACAGCCACATCTTCAAAGCACACTGGACCCTAACAGAACAGGAAAAAGGCTGTCCTCTTAGAGAACATTCACTTGGCTCTGTTGTTTTCTACATCAGCCAGACCCCTCTCTGCCTTCCTCATCCCTCTCTCCTGCTGCAGCTTCTGCCTCGGAGTCTGGGCTGCTCTCTGCCACAGACTCCCTCTGCTCCCTGAGCCCTCTTCCCTCTCCAGCTTCAGACCCCTCCTCCTCCTCCTCCCAGTCACCTCCCTCTTCTCTGGCTCCTCCCACCATTCCTCTGCATCCAACTGTGTCCAGCCAGTCTGCATCCAAGCAGTCCTTCCCCACAAGGCTCCTTCCCCCTACCTGATCTGGGTTCACAGCCGCTGCCTCCCTCCACCACCATGAAAAGATGAAGGAGCAGGTCTTGGTGGCATCATTCCTCCACCTGGGAGAGACAAAGGTAAGTGGAAACCGTGAGCGCCTGCTTCTCTCAGAGGTGAAACAGTGCATCTCTACGTACAGATGGGGCTTGTCCAAGTCTCCCCTGCTAGCTTCCGGTTCCGCTCTGCTTTAATGGAGGCAGCGGGAGATCGTTGGCAAAGGAAAAACAAGGATGACTGAGGGTAATTCTCCTTGCAAGTTCCCCCAGGGACAGGGGGGAACGGGCTTCACTCCCAGTTTGTCTCGGTACCAGGCTCCAGCTCCGGCATGGATTGCGAGAGGCAGGGAGGCGCTGAGTGCAAAAGCCCTTTGCCTGCCGAAAACCCTCCTTCGCCGCCATTAAGAACCAGAGGTTCTCCTGTCAATTAGAGCTCAATTTGGACTAATGTACAGGCGTTGCTGGAAGAAATGAGATCATAAACTGCGGAACTGAACCAGCTGCAAGGTCTTTAAGGTTTGAATTTGAGAATAAACTTCATTTGCTGCAAAAGACAGTGAGTGGGGGGAGGGGAGCCTATGGCTTCTTTATATAACGTTTTCTTCTCTGCATTTATGATTTGGCAGTCCGCCATTGAATACTAGTTGAAAATATCTATGTACAGGTGAGCAGGGATGAAACTGGATTGCAGATATGAAATATAACATCAAATGGAACTGTGTGTGTAAAAACAAAAAGGAAAAAGGGAGGGAAGCTCTATTTTGCAAAATGTTTACGATGGAAAATTAGAGCTGACTCTTCCCCATCCTGTATTATATACAGACTGAACTGAATAATGCTAAAAGGACTTGGAATTAAATTTAATTCGATAAATGCGCATTTATCTTCGGCCAGACAGAGGGATGTAAGGAATCTGAAAGTTGTGCAGGAGCTGATAAGGTTCATTACTGAGTCATTTGCACTTCTGACCGATCCCTCTCCTTCCCAGGCAGAGAAGAAAAATGGCAAAAACTGATTATTTATTGGGACAGTGTGATTTTTGCAGCTGCTGTTAAAGTTGCCAAACAACGAAGCACAGGACAGAGCGATGGAGAATTTCTGAAACCACAATGGGATATTAGCTCCATCCAAGGAATAATGGAGAACAGCAACAACCAGGAAAAGATAAAATATTTTACAAGGACAGGAAAAAACATCACGAACAGGAAGATTGCCACACATGGGAAGAGTAAGGATATCGCTGGAGTGCCTCACTTGTAGTTTTATATATTATTTGTATAAAGGATTCTTATCTTGACAGGAGGGTAATTGAAAATAATAAGATTTTGGAATGCAGAAATCAAGAAAATCATCAAACCATCAGTTTTAGCATGCGGGGTGGGTGGGCCACCTATACTATAAAATTTGATATTTAAAGGTTGGTATTACTAATTGTATTGTAATTTCGCATTGTTATAATGAGGCCATTAATGAACTGTAATTTTAAACTAATCAAATTACTATCGGAAACGTCTCCCCTGCTGAGTACATTTGGACTCATTTGTACCCATTTCATATAATAGTTGTGCAAAAATACATCTCCCCCCCTCTGAGCTCCAGGTGTCCTCCCCCAAAAGATGTAAAGAACTCAGAGATTAGTTTCAAAACCATGAGAATGTGACAAAACGGGGGAGAAAACACTCCTTCCTCCTTACCCAGAGGCCTCACTCTGGCGTCCAGCGGAGTCTTCTCTGCCTCAGAAGAATCAAGACCCATTTCTGCCAAAAGATCCTTCCTCTGAAAGAGCAACAAGGATTCAAAACAAAGAATGGGGAGAAGGGTTAGAGAAGGAATGGCAGAGGCAAGCGCTTTCGGGGGACAGAGGTGAAAGCTGCTTCCTGCTTCTGCTAGACTGGTGTCTGGGGTTGGCTGCCAGGACCATGAAACATTGGTCCTCAAGGATCTTCACTGGCTCCCAGAACGTTTCCCAGCACAATTCAAAGTGTTGGCCTCAAAGGCCCAGTATACCCAAAGGAGCGTCTCCATGAACTGAGGTCCAGTTCCGAGGGTCTTCTGCTGATTCCCTCACTGTGATAAGTGAAGTTACAGGGAACCAGACAGAAGACCTTCTCCACAGTGGGACCCACCCTGGGGAATGCCCTCCCATCAGGTGATAAGGAGATAAGAAAATGCATAACTTTTAGAAGACATCTGATGTCTTCTTATGCTTTTATATGTGCTGGAAGGCACCCAGCCACATGGATGTCATTAATAATAATAATAATAATAATAATAATAATAATATGCTTTCCAAAAAAGGATGGGCCATTAGGAATTGATTTGGGAATACGCTCCCTCCTCTTTGGAGTCCCTTGGGAGTATCCAGAGGAAAGTCTCTCTCACCTGCTGCTCTGCCTGCTTCCTCTCCTCTGCCTGACTCAGGAGGAAACCTTCGGCCAGGGCCACCGCCTGGGAACTGGTCTCCACTCCGCATTCCCTCACCCAGCTCTCCACCTCCAGAGGAAGGACAGCCAGGAACTGCTCCAAGATCACCAGGTCCAGCATCTGAGCTTTCGTGTGCCTTTCTGGCTTCAGCCATTGACGGCAAAGGTGGTAGAGTTGGTTGCAAACCTCACGGGGTCCTTTGGCCTTCTGGTAGCAGAACTGCCTGAGCTGCTGGCTCTGCACAGCTGAGCAAAGGGTGTCCTCCTCATCCAGGATCTTCTGCATGGAGTTTTCACGCAATCCCCCACTGCTCCCAGTTTCCAGGGCGTGGCCTCTTCCTGCTTCAGGGCCAGCTGAGTCTTGCTCATCCATCTGGGCTCTCCGGAAGTCTCCAAGAGATCGGAAGGAGCCCTTTGGTCCTCTGCCAAGTTCTGTGTGTCCTAATGCAAGGTGCAGCAAATCCTATGAATCAAACACATTCTTCTATTACAAGATCAATACACAGTCAAGAGAAGAAGAATGTTCCCTGAGCAAGTGCAGGGAGAGGAGGAGGAGGAAGAAGTCATAACTGTGAATGACAAGTGAGTCATTTATATGAAGTGTAATTTGGAGCCAGGGCAATAGGGGGGTCCCTCCCAACCCCACTTCATAGTCCAGAGCTTCGCTCCAACCCAGCCATATCTGCTTGGGTGGCTTGGTGAGCAGCAGGGCTCATGTCTAGCTCCAGCCACCGTCCCTTTGGCACAGACAGGATGTGGCCATGTGACTTCGGTTAGGTTCTCAACTGGGTTCCCTCTTTTACTAATGGCATTTCTATCCCCCTTTTCTCCAACAGGCTCCAGGTGGTGTCAGGGACTGGACCCAAGAGGAATGCTGGAGACCCCTTTCCCTCCTCCTGAACCTTCCCGAGAAGAGGAGGACAGTATAGATTTACAACAGTGGTTTGCAGAAGGTCATAGTTCAGAGGCTGCAGAGGGGAGAAGCTGGGAAATATTGGGAGAGCAGCACCAGGGGAGAGACAGCTGACAGACTCTGTGTCTTCAGAAAGCATTCCTGACCCTCCTTCTCCCAGGATCCAGTGTGCATTGAGAGTAGGAGAACAGGAAGCACAGATCAGCCGACGCAGGGATGACGTAGAAGAGGAGAGACAGAGGGGTGGGACTTTACTCAGAACAACGCCATTACTGCAATGGAGATGTGCTGTTCAAAGTCTCTCTCTGTAAATATTGAATAAAGGACTGGGCAGGAACTCTTCTTGTTATTGACTTTTTGGCAGGCCATGGGGGAGGGATGGGATTCCCTGAAGCCTGACAGGAGGCATCTACATGTAGTTCCTGTTTTAAAATACCTGCCTTGGTTGCCAGTTCATTTCTGGGCCTAAGTTCATCAACAGACCAACACTTTATATTGTTTAGTTGGCAATGGAAGAGGAGAAAGGCCCATGACTCTCCCTTAATCGAAGCACAACCACAAGGGCTTTGCCATGTGGAATGCTCTCTGTTCACTCTGTTCTGTTTCCCCTTTATTTTTGGTCGCGTTCAAACCAATTCATTAACCCAAAAGTCATACGCTGACCACTGACAATGAACCTGATGTCGCAAATTTATTATGCTGCTTTTGTGATATACAAATGGCATGAGGAGACTTGCTTTATTTAACTCTATCCTTTATTATTCCTATGATCCTTCTTTATAAAACCCAATGAAAAGTTATTCAAAAAACAAGAGGAAACAACACACACACACACGGGCTCCATCTGTGTGGCATCTGATATGTTAGCAGGCTTTAAATTAATCACCAGAAAACGAAAAGGTTAGCAAAGAATATGAGAGGAGAAGACCAGAAGGTTTTGGTGGAGGAAACAGGGTTTCAAACCGAAAATAAAATATTTGAGTGTTACTGTGACAAATACCAATTTATGTTGTTTCAAAATAATTATGTGCTGAAATTAAAGGATATGTCAAGATGGGGGATGCAGAAATATTTACCTCTTAAAATTAAAGTATTGCAAGATGCCAAGGAAAGCGAAGTAGGAAGTAATCCTCCTTTCTGTTTGTGCGCTTATTTAGATTCCTTGATTTTATCTTTGATAAAAAGATAGGGGGTATTGGATGCCCACTTTCGTCCATCTCCTTTCAAACATGAACGACATCTATTGAAAGAATGAAAAATAAGGGGAAATAAAAGAAAGAGAGCCCCCCCCCCCGGCCAAGCCAGACTCCAAAGAGTCTTGGGAACCGTAGTTTGCGAAGGAGACACCGTCCAGCTGCCCCCTCGAGCCTGAAAACTCCCGGGAAGCTTGGAACAGAGACCATTCCTGTCCGGGGCTCGGGGGGCGGGGCGGGGGGCGGGTCCGCTGGCAGGCTCCGCCCTCTGTCGCCCCTCCCCCTCCCGGGCCAAGGAGAAGCCAGGCCGAGCCTGGTCCTGGGCAGGAGGAAGAGGAAAGCCAAGGAGCTGAGAACCGCCCAGGCTCGAGAGCCATGATGTTACCTCAGCGTCGCGGGGCAGGGAGTTCCGCAGGCTTCGCCCGAGAGGAGACCCACCAGAGCCCGGCCGGCGAAGGCGAGGCCGGAAGGGACGTCAGGGGGCGAGGAGGGGGAGCGGCCCGCCTTCCTTTCCTGTCCTCTCTAGGAAGCCAGCTCGGCGCCCCTTCACCCTTCTCTCTCCCGTCCGGGGCGTCGCGCAGGCGCAGAGCTGCTCCATCCGGGGCCTGGCGAGCTGCTCCCTCGGAGGGGAAGAGGCCGCCCTTGGCCCGCCATGGGGGAGAGGAGGGGCGCCTGCCCGGGAAGAAGAAGCCGGCCTGGGCAAGGGGGAAGGCGGGTCCCGGAGGAGGAGGAGCCCCTCTCTCTGCCCGGGGGGAGAACCAGGTCTCTGGCCCCTGGAGAAAAAAGGGGGGTGGAAATAAATAAGAGTCCGCTGTAGATCAAGCAGCAGGAAAGGACCACACAAAAAGCAAGGACCTTAGTCCACAGATTAAGTTTCATTCAAACCCAGAAGAGAAAAAGCAGCCCTAAGTGCAGTGTCTCAAGGATGCAGCGTAACATCTTTACCTTAGAAAAAGGAATTAAACGTAACAGTCGGCAAAGAGGCAGTTAAATGGAATTTTTCAGTGGCAAGGGGGACAAGGAAGCCCATCACAGCAGGCCTGTCTTGTTAAAAATCAGGAGAAGAGATTTCTGTACATCTCAAGAGCAACAAGAATGTGTTCCTTCCCACCCTTTGCTTGAGAAGTAAAACTCTGCAAGTGTTTGGCTCCAGGGTCCCTTGAGAGAGAGTTGGTTCCGACTCTGAGCAAAGAGGAAGGAAAAGGGGGTCCTGCAAGGAGAGGAGGAGGGGAAGACCCCCTTTTCTAGGGGTGGGGGAGAGGGATTGGGCTCCCAGGTCAAGAGAGCACCTTGTATCCTGGCACTGAAAAGACACCCTCCCGACACACACTTTGTGGCATCTCCTTTCGGCAAAGGGTCAAAACATAGTTCCAACTTGAAAACCACCTCCAGGACCAGGCACCCTCAATGGGCTTTGCACTACAACTCCCAACCGGGCCTGCCAGCAGAAGGCAGGGGGGATGGAAACAGCCTTCCAAAAGGTGCAGCCAGCTCCAGAGGCGACCCAAGGCTGCTCTCCAACGGGACGCTGCTCCAGGCATCTGAGCTGCCCAGTTCAAGGGAGCTGGCGGGACTAAGAACTGGGGTTCCTGAATTGCAGGGGTTGGACTAGATGAGCCTGGAGTGTCCTCTTCCAGGATTCCTCATCTGGCTGCCAATGCCACGGCTGGAATGTCTCCCAAAACTGCCCCCCCCCTTTCACAAGGAGCTCTTCCTCCCCCCCTGTGTCTTAAACTACCCTTTGACTGGCAACCATCTCCAATCTCCTTGCTGGACAATCCCAACCAAAGATGCAATAGATTCTCTGAAATCTACTCAGGAGTCCTGTAGTGATTTCATGCTCTTTATTGCAGCTTGCAAAACAGTGATTTAATGGCCCCCAAACCTCAGGCTGTTATATACATTATTTACACAATTAGTCCCGTCTGATTGGCTGATTCTGCTTCCTTCCTGGAGCCTGAATGCTCTTTTCCTGCAAGCCAATCAGTTGTTGCATTCTAGGATCCTACTTGCCTTTTGTTCTAGGCTCAAAGCTTAGTACATAACCCCCCTCCCCTCTACGTTCCCGTTGCACCCAGAAGGTTAGCATTCCTAATCGTTGAGATATGCCGGTCACCTATGTATGCCTTGTGGTCTTGGGTGTCTCTCAGTAGGGGTTCCTGGTTCTGGCTCTTGTTCCAGGGCTGCCGGTTGTGACGGGGTCGTTGGGTTGGACGCCACTGGTCCACTCGGTTGTGGTTCTGGTTCCTGTGGCTGCTCGGCCTCGGTCACTTCTGGACTTCCTAGTTCTGCTGCCCTTACCTGCTCCTCCTGCTCTATGGGCCTCACCCTTCTGCTATCCCCTTGGGATTCCTCTGTCCAGCCCTCCTTGCAGTTCCCCCCCAGGAACCATCACAGCAGTTGATCGCAGTGGCGGTGCCAAGCTTTCCCCCCTTCGTTAGCACCTCGTATGACACGGGGCCAGTCGCCCTGGTAACTGTGGCGGGTACCCATGCCAGGCCCTCCCCGAAGTTCTTTGCGTACACTGGGTTGCGGGGCTGGAAGGTCCGGGGTTCCCACCTTCCCCCACTGCTGCCTCGTCATGGGCCCTGTTGGGGTGAAGGCGGTCTGGTCTTGTTGTGAGGCGCCAGCCCATGAGTAGTTCCACTGGGCTCCGGCCATCACTGTGCTGTGGGTGCTGTGCTGGGCTAGGACAAATGCAGCTAGGCGATACTCCCAGTCCCCTTGTGTCATGCGGCGGAGGGTGTCCTGGGTGGTCCACACCATGCGCTCTGCTTGGCCATCGGTGGCGGGTTGGAACAGCACTGATTGTGCATGGCGGATGGCATTTTCTGTTGCGAAGGTCTGGAACTCCTGTGACGTGAATGCTGTTCCGTTGTCGGAGACGAGTGTGTCAGGGAGTCTGTGGGTTGTGAACAGCCTATATAGTACTTGGATGACCGCAGCCGTGGAAGTGGACGGTACCTGGACGACCTCCAGCCATTTGGAGTATGAGTCCCCCACTACGAAGAATGTCTTTCCCTGGAAGGGGCCAGCGAAGTCCACATGCAGGTGGGACCACAGTGCTCGGGTGGACTCCCAGGGTTGGATGGGGGCCCTTGGAGGATCTGGGCAGGACTCCTTTCAGGTCTGGCAGTATTTAACCCAGGCCAATATCTCCCCGTCAATTCCTGGCCACCACACATAGCTTAAAGGCCTCACTACCCCTGGGTGTGTTTCATGTAGGGCTGTGAGGACCTTTTGGCGCAGAGGCTGGGGAACGACCACCCTGCTTCCCCATAACAGGCACCCCTTGTGGGCTGACCACTTGTGTTTGCGGGTTGTATAGCCCGCAAATTCCGGCCCAGGGTTGCTACTGTGCCATCCCCACCAAACCCAGTCCAGGACCCGGGAGATGACCCTGTCCTTCATGGAGTGGCGTGCTACTTCCAGCACCTGAATGGGGCGGTCAGGAAGCTTTTCCAGGCTCATGACCTCATCTGCAGGTGCTGGGTCAGGTCCAGTCTCAGGTAGTGGCAATCTGCTGAGGGTGTCTGCGTGGCCCATTGCCTTCCCAGGCTGATGGACCGTGTATACTGGTAGCCGGTGAGGAAAATCAACCACCTGAGGACGCAGGGTGACATTATTAGAGGGGTCTGCTTCTCGGGTGTGAATAGGCCAAGCAGCGACTTGTGGTCGGTCACGACGGTAAAGGGGCGCCCATACAAGAAATTGTGAAATTTCTTTACTCCCTTCACAATTGCCAGGCCCTCTTTAGTCTATTTGCAGATAGCTCCTCTCGGCTGTGGAGAGGGTCTGGGAAAAGTAAGCCACCGGCACCTCTCTTCCATCTGGACGTTGGTGCCCTAGTACGGCACCGACACCATAGGGCAAGGTGTCGCATGCCACCACCACCGGCAACCTCTCGTCAAAGTGCGCCAGGACTGAGTTCAAGACGAGCAGATCTTTGACTGCCTGGAACGCAGCCTCATGGCACTGCCCCCACTCCCATGGGGCCCGCTTATCTAACAGTCTGTCTAGGGGCTCTGCTACTGCTGCCTTGTGGGGTAAGAAGGCATGGTAAAAGTTCAATAGTCCCAAGAAGGTTTGGAGTTCCGCCTTACCCTTAGGTGCAGGGGCGTCGCAAATAGCCCTCATCTTGTCCCCGGTCAGGTGGACTCTGTCTGCATCTACTGTAAATCCTAGAAAAACCACCTGTTGAACTCCTAGCAGACACTTTTCCCGCTTCACCTTGAGGCCAGCCGTCTAGAAACAGTGCAGGACGGTGCAGAGTGTGTCCCCAAACTCCCCCAGCGTGGCCCTGGTGATCAACACATCATTGAATAAAAGTGTGACGCCGGGAATTCCTTTGAGGAGAGAGTCCATTGGATTTTGGAATATGCCTGGG